TTTATTGATTGTCCACGCTTCGCACCCGTATAATAGGATTGGCTCGATGTAACTTTTCAGTTCTCTTTTCCTCGTTTCCAGTGACAGATTGATGTTTGTTATTATCTGTTTCATCTTGTGGAAGGTTGTTTTTGCTTGGCAAATGCGGCTTTTAATTTCGGTGTGACATCTACCATCTGATGATATAATGGTCCCCAAATATTTAATCTGCTTCGTACTTTGTATTAAAAACTATATTATATCGCAGGTATGTTTATTGTTTCACATCTTACAGTCATGTGCAGAATGGCAAGTCTGCTCTTTGACTAGTATATATGCAATATATGCACGTATACTGTTGCTATGTGAATGTGTTTTTGTACCGGGTTTGGAGAATTTGCTTTAGCTATATTATATATTACGGCTTTCGAACTTCCTATTGTGTTATATTTTCGATCTGTCCTTTATTCGTTTAAGTTTAAAAATCAAGGGACAACTGTGAACTTAAGTGCCCAATGATCATATTTTAACTTTTTATACGGCTGAAATTTTAAATAATAATTTTAATTTTATTGTGTAACATTTGAATCTTTTCCAAGTGCACATTTGATCTGAAAACAAAAACTCCTAAAACCTGGTAACTGATTACGTCTTTTATTATCCAAAGTGTTATTAACAATTTCACCAGTAGGCCTACTAAATGGGCCATATCCTTAAGAATGGATAGGGGCATTGTACTTCTAAAAAATACCTTTTGTATTTTTTAAGAGCGACTTGATCTATTGTTGAAGTCAACACTAGAGCACTAGATAAGAGACAAAAGCCTTCCTCTCTCCTGTGTGGAATTATGTGCCATAATAAGTAAATGCATTATGATTAGGACATAGATCTAGAGGTAAATGAATGATCATCTGTGATACAAATCAAAACGAATTGTGTTTTCTTTACAGCATAAGCAGCAAACAAAATGCATGCTTGCTGAATTCCATAAGATTAAGAAAAATGAGAAAAGGTTAGCCTGGTTCTCCTCAACAATCAAATCTTTCCCACAATTGAACTAGGGCAGGCCAAACTTTTCAATAGTAAGTCTGAAGCCAGGAGTAGCCTACCAGACTGAGATGCCCAATACTCACAATATGAATTAAAATTAAGCAACTGAGTATGCAAAAATAAACATGTAAAAAAAACTCACATCAACATCAAAACAGACACTAATTCTCTTTCAGGTCTTGGCTGAATTTTTTATTTTTTATTATTGCCAGTATAATACAAATTCTGAATATCAGCCCTCGAGGGGTCAAAGTAAAAAACTAAGATATTGCAGTTTGTGAAACATTTGCTTCAACATTTTCTCATCAGTTAACTTTTTTTAAACACAAATCAAACAGTCATTACTTCATATACAATGTATACAGTCATCAACATAAAGGAATAAACCTGCTAATACATATACAAACAGACACACACACACACACACACACACACACACACACATATATATATACATAATATACACACAAACACACACATAGACTTTTTCGTAACTGCAGAGACACTTCCAAGCAACAGATAATCAATATAAGCACACGAAAGCAATAGAATGTTCATACTAATTCAGCTGCTTTTGCAAAAACCAACAGACTGGAAAATATATCACAGTACAGTTCAACTATGTTTCCAGATTGCTGGTATTATTATAACGTTTATAATTACTCTAACAAGCAGAGCACACGTCTCACAACCTGTACAGTTCTCATATCCAACTTCACAAACTGACATAACTCTGATTTTGATTCATATTTGAACACCATACGCACTACCATTTCATGTCAGATTACTCAAAATCACAGAAACTAAAAAGAAAGGGTAAGAAACCAAACTATTCATAATGACCATTATGTACAGGAAGGTAAAACCTTTTCAAACTGTTTAATTAAAAAGTTGGAGGGAAAAAAAGCATTCAAGATATGTAGGCCTATTACATGTATTATATGACGAGGTAAAAGCAAGTTGCGCCCCTTTCAACACAATAGCTTTCTCTTAGTCTCCAGAGAAGGCAGCGATAAACTATTCTATTACAAGCCAAAGATGTTATCCCTTTTCCTCTGATCACTCGCTCAAACAATGCTTTCTTCACATTTTCGACGTTTTTAACAGCTCTCTCAAGATGCCTTAGAAGTAAGAGATATATCCAGGCTCAATACAACAGGCTGGCACAAAGAGGGGAAAAAAATTTTTTTTTTTATTATGGGTTTGCTAACAGATATATCACGTGGATATTCTGTCCTGGGCACTCTGGAGTGAAAAGGCAATGAGGAGGCTGATAGGCCAGCAGGCAGTGCTGTGGTTGATGGTGAGGTGAAATTTGACAAAGGAGAAGTGTTGAAGACCCTGGAGAAAAAGTTGCGGGATGAAGAAGACAGCAGAACACCACGCAATCATTAGGATGCGGGAAATGGGGATAGAGAGGGGAGAAGGAAGAAATGAACGATTATCTGGAAAGGAAAACGATCAGTATGGATACCTTGCGGGCTTGGTGCTGGGGGGAACTGAGCACTTATGGACCTGTTCGGTGTGCAATGACGTTGTTGCCCAGGACAGGTAATACAGGTAACAGATATAATGATAATCTTCAAAGGCTTGCCTATCACCAACACAGTAACAATACCTTACATACGTCACTATGGTCTGTGATACAACTAACGTCTGTACAAGGGGCAGTTATCATTGACTGTGATGTGCACTCTGTACTGTCTTCATTCTTTCCCCTTAAAAATCTTGTCCACAATTTAGATGACTGACTGCGTGAAGCGCATTTTATGTTGGCTCAGAGACATGATAATGAGGCTATACTAATACTGTATGTGTCTTTGAACCTGAGCAGATGAAAGATAGGCACTTTATTGTTGATTTGTTCTTTTTTATCTACTATTATAAAAATCATTACAACTGAAGACTAAAGTAATTCAGAACAAACATTTATATAATTATGTTTTTCATTTTTCCACGTCCCGGTCATAATGAAAAAAATGGATACTAAAGATGAAAGACTAAAAAGAAACGGCACAGCAGTGGCGAGTTCTTGCTCAGATCTCTGACAACATTGAGGTACAGTAACGTTAAAAAAAAAAATATTCTAATCACAGATGCTCATGCACTTCAATAGATATAAAAAAAGCACAGATGCAGAACCAATACCAAGACCAAAAGTCTAGGAAAAATCTTTGTCCTTGCAACAAAAGCAAATATTTCAAGAAACAAAGTTTACAAAAGTCATTTTTTCAAAGGAAGAATCTTTTTAAAGGCCATGAAAATCTAGTAGGCCTACATGCACTTTTCCTCATTAAAACAATTCCAGTAACAATAAATCACAGTAGCTGTTTTGGAAACAACATACAAGCAGATGTGAATGTAATATTAGCAAACACAAAATGCTTTCATCAAACTCATAAAATGGAGCTAAAAGTCTTAATTTCTTACACTCCTACTTTCAATGTATATTATCATAAACTTATTTGTAATGCCTACAAAATATGTGTAGCAAATGACATTTAGTTAGTCTAGTGACAACAACCACTCTTCACTGAGATCTTGCCAGGAGTGACATCGTGTAAGACAGAATCTATAAATATGAGATATTATATTTACATACCATGGAACAAGTATTGCATCTCAGAAAGATTGATGGAACAGGTAACAATGTAGATCATTTTTGTAGAGCCTACTCCTCTGTGAACACAGCTCTAGAAGCTTTACATAAAACCAAATACAAGTACCCATAACTGAAAAAAATAATATTTAGTCATATTCACAGACTGAAGAAATGGGGCATACGAACACAAAACACACACACACACACACACACACACAAAAACACACACTTAATCATAAACACACACACACACACACACACACACACACACACACACACACACACACACACACACACACACACACACACACACGTATACACACCTTCTCTCTCATCACACATGCACACAAATACATCATGGATTGAGCCATACAAATTCTAGTGTTGTACTACAATGCAATCCTGTAGTTCAACAAAAATACATAACTATAAATAAATACACAGTCACGAGAGAGAAAACTTGTGGGGCGAGCGAACAGCAGGAGATCTTCAGAGGAAGAACCCCCTTCAAGCAAGACTTTCGGCCCTAAGTTCCTGACACTCTAATGGGGCGGGCCACACTCAGGTCAGATATCTTGAACAAACTGAATTAGGAATTTAGACATTACAAACAGCATTCAAAAGTGCACAGTTATACAAAGTATCATACTTACACATACCATTCCTTACATTTTGATGTTTCATTTGAAAGATGCCTTTCATCCCAGATCCCTTTCATCCCATTTTGACATAGAAAGCTCAACTCGCTTTGTTTGAGCGCCCTAAAGAGACTGCTCGTTTTGAGCACTTTCACAGGTTAAAAAATCAACTTGATTTGAGCACTAAGTTTTTTCCTATATATATAGTATATAGTAGCCTTAATATTTCGTGGAACGATTATAAAGTTACCTATTCCAAGTATTAATATCCAAAGTAAGAAAAACTTCCTAGACCAGTAAAAGGATGGATCAGAGAGTTGTTTCAGAAAACCACAAATTGCCAAAGCCCGAGTGATTTTCAAGAACATCAGCCTGAAAGAATGGAGCAGCTGGAGTGTTTAGAAAGATCATGCTACAAGATGTGGCCTGTCTATCTGTGAATAGTTTTTACCAAGTTTATTCAGTCTTCATTTTAGTCACATTTTCAAGCAAACAGAGGTCGAACGACAAGTCATTATCTTGATGAGTCTGTCTGCTGAGCAGTTCAGTATAAGAAGGTGTGTAAAGACCTCGTCATTTGTCATTTCATTTTCACTTGCTTTGGAACCTTGGATGGCATCTGTTTGATTTCAAATTATTTGTGAAAAATCAGCCTGGGCAATATTTTTCATGCTGGAATCGCATTGATCGTTATTCCAGTATTAAAAAGAACTAACAACCCACCCAAAAAAAAACCAAAAAAAAACAACTAAACAGTAATAGTATTTCTCCTGCTTTCATCACAAATTGTTTCATAAAATCAAACAAGTGTCATTCAAGGCTCCAAAGCAAGTAAAAATGAAATTACAACATTGAACTGCTCAGCAAATTCCTTTTCACCTCTCAGATCTGACCACAGATACCTGTGCATCTTGATTAATTGCTTTCGGTGAAGTACCGAGAAAATATTAAGGGAGACAGAAACAGAGACTTGCCTATTCATGCAATATATTTCTTTTATAACAAACCACTTCAGAAAATTCTGAAAAACACCAAGTCCTCATTCTAAGGACACATGGCACTGATGAATATCGAGACAAAAATTAATTTCAAAGATTTCTCCAGGTTTTAAAAAGACAACTGCAGGCAGACTAAGACTTGGAGATGTCTTTTCTTCTCCATATGTCTTAAAACATCAATGTCCTTTCTTCTCTGCATTGCCTTCGGATACTTTTATGAGAGAAACAAATCTCCAGATAGCACTCATTCTTAGTGACTTTACATTTCCTCATTCTCAATGCATTCTTTGACCAGAGTCTGCAGATTGGGGTTCTCCATGGCAGCTGAGATTCTCTCTTTATCATTTATCTGTTTGTTGACTGAAAAAAAAAATGAAAAAAGAATGGTGAAAAAAAAAGAAAAAAGAATGGTGAAAAAAACAAAACAGAAGCAACAAAATGAACTGATTGCAATAAGAATTTAAAACTTATTCAAAGTAGAAGAAGTAGCTGTAGCAGTGAACAGCTCAGAAATCTTTGAATAAATATTGTCATTACAGCTTTCGTTCCTGCTTGGGTTATCCTATGTGATATGATGCTGTGGAATCAGGCATAATATTGAGTTATTGGTTTAATCTTAAAGCCTGTTTATTTGTCTTGCTTCCAATTTAAAAAAACACCCATCAATCTCCAATAGAAATTCAATATTTGCAACTGAAGGAGATAGGGATCACCTCATGTCAGAGATAAAATTAGCCAGAAAATGGCTGGCAAAGTATGGTGACTGCCAAAGCTCTAGTGTCCTTGAAAACTGCAAATTTACATTTTTTGTGCCTTTGATTAAAGTTTTTCAATAAAATTTACACTGAAATGTGTTTTTAAATGGTCATGATAAAAAGAACTGAACCCTAAAAAAAAAAAAAAATCCAATAAAAATTGCCCTGCAGATGGAAAAAATGTCAGTTTCTTCTATTTCAGAATAATTTTGACAAGCGCCTGATTTTACCATGATACAACACATATATGTCAAAAAAGTCTTGTACCTGCAGCTACAGCTCAAGGTTTTAATCTTTTACAATTCTAAACATGATAAAGAAAATAGAAGTACCTCTCTCAGAATGAAAGGAGAAAAAAATTAATAAAATCATGCCTACATGATTGAATAGCGGCCTAATCATTTAAACAATCAAGGTAGTCTTTCAAACAAATAGAAGTGAAATCTGCAACTGCAAGTGAAAGTTATAATTTGAGTCATTTGGCAAAATATTAAAACTCAGAAAATATCACATGAAGACTAGTAATATGTAATTTTTATATGGTAGCAGAAGCAAAAAACAAACAGCAACCAAGATGGAAATAAAAATGTAACAAAAAACTAGAAAATACCAGGCATTCTTACTTTCATCAGCAGTATCATGAGTCCCCTCTTTGATGAAGATATCAACCTGTTTAAAAAGATTTGTTTTTTAATTTTCTAAAAAATCAGAGAGCTTAGGGAGAGAAGAAAATTCAGAGCTTTGAACTGCAAACTTCCTCAATTAAAAAATAATATACATTAATAAAATATATGGTGTATTTGCAAAAAATTATGTCAAAAAAGCTTATTAGATCTAGTGCAGTTCTATTATTTATAGAAGAAAAAAATACACACAAAATTCTTTACAAAAACAATTTCAATGTTAAGTAGAATTTATAGATGGATGTACTGTTGAGGTACAGCTACTTTTCAGTACACACCCACAACAGTTACTTGCCCTCCCAGAGGCTGATCTTAACAAAGTCATTAGAATAAATGGCACCATTTTTGAAAACTTCATATCAAGTCAAACTTTTAAAAATAAAATCATAACAAAATTCACATAAACAAAAGCAAGCTAGTTGTCTGATAATAGGACTTGAATAACATATGTTAAGGAATAGATTCAATGACGACATGGCAAGACAGAAAAAAAACAAATTAAAATCCTTACCTTGAGCTTCTGTGGTAAACATTTATCCAGTTTTGACCTCATTGTTAACCCTGTAAATAGGAGGATTTTTTATAAAAAGATAGGAGTCAAAACTGTCCAAGGCAGATACCCACTGTAGGAGAGAAAACTGATTGTCTTAGACAGGTAGGTGTCTTTGACAGTGTCATTGTAATAGCTAAAAAATGCAAAATGGGAAATGGTCCTTTGTACTGGTGATTGTCTTGGTCAGGGGGTCATTACAGCAGGTTCGACTATCTTTTTATAAGCGTTGGTAGTCTAGTGATTACACTACTGGACTCATAATCGTGAGGTTGCAGGTTCGGGAATTAGAGTCAGAGGCCCAACGATGCGTCTTTGGGAAAGGCACTTCACACGAATTTTCCTCACTTCACCCAGGTGGGAATGTGAATTTTCCTCACTTCACCCAGTTGGGAATAGGTACTAGGCCATAGACAACGAAAGATCTTGTCAGTATGTTAGTCTTTTAGTGCCTATAAATGTCAGTTTGCACTGTATAGTTCCCAGGAAGTTGAGATTGTTTCAGAATGCCATCAGGTCTGCAAGGGTAATACTATAGATTGTAAAGCGTATAGAGCTTGCTGTAGAGCAGGAATTTGAACTTTACAAATGCTATCTATTACTATTACACCTCCAGAATAGTAAAGGGAAAAACGGATGGACCCAAAAATCAAAAAGCAAAATCGAGAGCATCATGACGTAGCAGATCTGCACTTGTGGGAGAAAAAGGCACTGAATAAATCAAATAAACAATATGATCTTATATCCTGAACATTTAATGTGAAGATCAAACTGCTTTAGAATGTTATGATGGCAGCTGACATGCTTGAGGGGTAAACTGCAATTTCAGTTTTGAAATACAATGCATCTCATAACAAGACAAGTACTATAGCCTATCTATTGCAAAAATGTATTATTTACAAGTTGCATAGCGTCCAAACTTGAGCACTGCTCAAATAACATAAAAAGCCTATATTTAGATACCAAAATGGAAATCTACTACAACTGCCATACATCACAACAATTAAATACATTTTATTCGTCCACTTTAGTTCTAACGATATAAAAAACATTTTTGATTATGCCCTACAACATTCCCAAGCCATCCTTTCTTTAAAAGCTGTTATATGAAGCCATGAAGTTCCAAAGTGGTGGGTAGAATAGATTGGCTACATTGACCACATGAATTTGACACAAGAATGATTCATGGGCATTTCTTTTTCACATTTTTCAGTTGGGTCCTAATTCAAGCAAATGGAAATACAATGTGTCTGAAAAAAGGACCCTTTCAAAGGGCGACAACTCTGCCAACTTTACAACAACATCAACAAAACTGCCGTCGTAAGGGAAAACGACGAATGGTCCTGCGCAGGTAGCGAGGCAAATTTTTCAGGAGAGGCAAAAACTGTTTTCACTTTATAACTCTTCTATTTTTCACTCTTTTAAGCTGTAATTCACCAAGTATCTGATTGGGGTGCTCATAATGCAGTTTCTAAAGTTTGAATGGTTTAGGTTAAAAAGTAGCAAAGTTATTCGACATTCGTCGTTCTCCCTTACACTGCGCACCCGCAGGTGAGCCTTGCGATGTACGCGAAAACGACGAATGGTACGGTTAGTCGTTCTCCCTTACACTCTTGAACGTTTATGGGAGTAGGCGATGGTCAGTTGTGACGCATTATTGACAGTAATGACTGTGTACTGGTTACTACAAATAAAAATAAAACGTATACAAACTAGCTATCATTTTACGTATAAAGTTAGGTGTTTGTTTTATCCCAACTGTAACTCGGTAAACGTCCTTCGTTTGCCTTCCTCGCTTGGTTAAATACTACAGTCAGCGTACAAATCAGATGAGCGCACATTTTCAACAGCTTGATTTAAAACTGTCTCATTCGGAACAAAAGTTTGACCTCCATGATATCTCTTTATTGTATTCTCTTCAGAAGCGAGTTTTACGTTTATTTTCGCTAATTGCAAAATTTTCCCTGCACGACCAAAGGGATCAACAATGTTACAATGTCAATAATACGATCAGATCATTGCAAAGTCAAACTTTCTCGTAAAAAATGTAACAATCTGACAAGACTGTATCACAAACGCTTTCGGGAGAGGTAATGTGACGCTTTGTATTTAATAAAGGATTCAGTTGATCGGAAAACATACCACAAAGTAGAGATCGACAAGGACAGTTTGAATCTGCAAGACATTATTATACTCGATCGAAACGTCCATCAAGTCATAAAAAATCGTAAAGCAAGTGTCGCCACAATACGTCCACTTTTTAAGTTGGACAAAGAAATTTACTCTCATAAGGCAGTGTCATTAATTGCTTGGTAATTCTATGAAAGGATGTCGACCAGTGACACGTGCTAGACAAATTGCGGCACTATAACCATCGTTGGGATTTGATATGTCAAATGACTGGACAGCAAACTAACATGACGTTAGTCTGTGAACATCTGGCGGACACTAATATGCAGTGCAAACAAATTTCTCCCTTAATACTTTTTTGACCCTCCCATTCCCACCCCTTTCCCCCTGTTCCCATCCGTTTTCCCCTCTCTCCCGCCTGCTCTTCTCAACTCACACAATCAGCATAGGCCTAATACCTGAAGACAGAAAGACACACTAAGTGATACATTCTTATAAACCTGGTCGACGGTACTCCGGGGGAGGGGGTGGTGCTGTGTTTGTTTGAAAAAAATCTTTTTTTGTTTGTACTGACGCAACAGTGACCAATTGTCATTCGTCACCCATGCCAAATTTGCCCAACGGCAGAGACCAGGGGACAATGCTTAACAAGCAGTGATCCTTGACCGATCGACCATTCGTCGTTCTCCATTACACTGAGCTCTGGCTCGGAGCTCGCCAGTGTACAGGAAAACGACGAACTCTCAATTACACAACAACGGATTAGGACAGGACAAAAATTTTTACACCTTCAGATGCAGATTTAAATACTCTATGAAATATATAAAAATGCAAAAATCAAAAAATTTTGACCATTCGTCGTTTTCCCTTACGACGGCAGAAAACTTCGAGCAAATAAAATTCAACAAAGAGGACATTAAACTGTATCAGTATGAAGAAAGCCATTTCACATGTTAGAGAAATATCAGGTTTTTTTAATTTCAACTAAAATTAGATTAAACACAAAACTTGACTTTTTAAAAGCATTTAGCTACACTACAATGGTATGATCAACTGATCCATTCTAGCTTCAGGACGAGGACCATGAAATCATGACCGTCAGTTACATCTGCTGATCAACATTAAATCACATTATATCTTACTGTGCTGAGGAATTTTAGGAAAAATTTGGGGAGAAGAAGGTCGAAGAGCACACCTTATACATTAAGAGTGGCCTTAAATGGTTGCAAAAAAGGTTTGGGAAATGACTTACAAGCTGTACTGTAAGCTTACAAATGAATGGTCATCGGATTCCCTCTACTGGAACCCCCTAAGTATTTCTTTGAGTTTTTCTGACAATCTACGGAAACAACTCCCGAACAATTGAACAGTTGAAATTTAATATTGAACAAGACGTCTAAAGAATCGACAAAGAAACATGCCACATGGTTATTAAAAATGAGCAGTGGTAGGTCTATATTCAAGCATGTCAGGAGAGAAATTATAGTCAACACCTGGATCATACAAATTAAATAGCTACCCCTTTCCCTGAGTTTATTTGGCAATGTCAATTTTATATAAATTTGTTCTTCAATACACAAATGGTTGATTTTTTAAGAAGTTGCAAAGTCTTGCATTTTACTTAATTTTGGTGCGGGGGTGTTTAATGTCAACTTAATATTTTTCAAAAACATAAATTGATTTTCTTCAAATTGACAAGTGTGACGTTCCTGGTTTTGAATTTACTTACTGAAGTTAAGGTCCTCTTTTTTTGGACACCCGGTATCTACCATACACTAGATAGAAATGTTTCAAAGCAAAGTGTAATTTCAACCCAGAGAATTTCAGAACATATGTTCCAGTCATATTAAAGAAAACAAACCTATTATTGACGCAAGGCTGCAGTGAGGCACTGTGGGCACAAACTCAATGTTCACCAGGAACTGGCCATTTTCCAGCCTCTTTGCTTGAACCCCTTCTTCTGATATCACATTCAGCTCTTCCAGTGTTTCCGGCTTCTCGGGGTCTCGGATGCAGCTGATTAGGTCTGAAATTTTGAATCACAAAGAAAAGAAAGATAAAAAAGTAAGCTACAAAGAGATGAGAAGCAACCCCAATTCAATTAACATAACCATAGCAAAAAATTTCATACCTATGTGAACAAACAAAAAGCTCACCCATTTTAATAAGACAAAAAACAGAACTAGTAACAGGACTACAATTAGCCAGAGAAAGTGAACATACATACTTCACAGTTTAGAGGAAACATCTCTCCAATCACTACTGTCAATGTAATGTTACCTGATTCATACCAACCAAAACTGCTACAACTAGATAATAATAATAATAGATAGCATTTGTATAGCGCATAACCCCGCTCGAAAGCAAGCTCTATGCGCTTTACACTATATTATTACCCCAGCAGACCATAGAACACTCAGAAACATTCTCAGCTTCCCGGGAAGCATACAGTGCAAGCTGCGGATTTCACGCGCTCAAACACTAACAAACTCACAAGATCTTTCACTGTCTATAGCTGGGTACCCATTCCCACCTGGGTGAAGTGAGGAAAATTCGTGTAAAGTGCCTTTCCCAAGGACACAACGTCAGGTCCCTGACAGGATTCGAACCCACAACCTTACGGTTGCGAGTCCGAGAGCCTAACCACTAGGCCACCGACGCCACTGATAACTCATAACATTATAATGAGGAAGCACAGGTAATATTATTACACTTATAACTGTGCAAATTATCAAATTATCCCAATCTGGATCCAATTACAAAACCTAGACTAAGACAATTTTACTGTACAATTAAGAACTGATATCTCAAACATATCAGGGGTGGAAAAATGTTTTTGACAAATCTGTAGCTATATTATTAGTATTATATCTACTCATATTCAGTTCATGTCCTATCATCACATTATCACTCTGCGCCCCTTGGGGACTCATTCATGTAGTTTCATTTGTCTGTGTGATCATTCATCATTTCATTCCGTTCTACATCACTGTCTTGAGTCTTCCATTTCATTTCAGTTGATGTTGTCATCACTTGTACCCTCGTTGAATCATTAAAATTCACTGACATTATCCGACAAGGGAATGAGTCATTTCTTATGACGACATCAAAGCAGCTTTGTTAGCTTTTCCGTTTATACCTGAATCCCCCATTTTCCTGTACGTATATCCGCCGCTTGTTGCTTCGTCGTATTTTGGATAAATTTTTACACTTACTCAATCTTTACACGGTTTAGATTACGCAGCGGCAGATATGTTCCTCTAAAAACAAAGAAAGAAAGATATAAAAGAAGTTTTTCACCATCTAGCATAAGCCTATTGTCAGAATAAACATAGATGTGTATTGGTCTTTAGAGTATGTATAGAATCTAATAAAGCTCCAAAGGTCTTGTAATTAAATTCCTGCATGTGGTTGAATGATGCATCTGATATGATAAGATGTACATTGTCGGCTTTATTTCTCTTTTCATATTGAATTTTAATGTGAGTAATATGTAATTAAAATTTTTTATGTATACCTGCATGTGTTTTTACGGTCCAGTACAGCTCTGGGATAATAAAGTATTATCTTATCTTATCTTACCGTGAATTCAATTTTTGCGTATATATTCAGGTTATCTGTGCTCGACAGTATACTGACTGTGCAATCTACTAAATATGATATTTTAGCTTATCATAAATATTTCCCTAACTCAACTAACTGGCCTTAACCCATGCCTCACCCTAACTAGTGGAATCCCTTGACCACAACAAGAAGCCATCGACTACAACAGTCCATAAATTACAATTGTTCAGTTCAGCTTCGAATCAAATCAACATTTCCATCATATTCACTTCAGTCAAACCTCATTGTACCACCTCCTGTTGTACCACCACACCCCCTTACCACCAGGTTTTGCCAATGTACGAAAAGCATCCCCTAAACATAGTATTTGTGCCTTCATACCGCCATCCACCAGTCTCAGATACGGTCCTGAAAATTTACCCAGTCGTACCGCCAGCAAACTGGTCGCCAGATAGTACACAGTGTTCAGTAGGGCCTACAAACTAGGCTACACATGGCGTACGGCACATCCACTATCCACTCAGTGGTTGCTTGACAATCTTTCACACACAATAAGTATCAAAGAGCTAGGCCTAGCTTTCGATCAAGCGCTTTTCGCCAATTTGCTCCCTCCTCACTCATCCCACTTCCCCACCTTTGCCTTGTAGATTTCAAGCAATATGGAGAGATCTAGATTTACAGTGATGTTGTGCAGAGAGTATAAAATATATTCTTAGTAATTCAGAATCAAATTTCACTCCCTGCACGAGTCCGACTAGATTTAAATAAAATATACTAAATTTGACGGGCTGATTATGAAAATGCTAGATCTATTATTTTCAGGCCTTGGTCAATTTCTCAAAATTAAAAATTGGAATTAAATTTTTAAGCGGCCTTGAGAAACTTTGAAGGAACCCCGTCATCTCTGCACCCTGGCAAACATCTGGCACCGCCAGATATCAGCCCAATAACTTACAGTAGTTACAGGCTGGCTTACTGGCTTTTGTTAAGTGAAGACTTGAGGTGACAGAGCAGCTCGAAGGGAGATTAAAACTCATTATTAATCTAATGATTGGTAAACGAGTTCTCCTGATGTTGGGTATTCTGTGCTACATTAACAGAAGACATAAAAACCTTGTTGTACTGCCAACCCCACTGTACCGTCAAAGTTCATGCTCGTCCCAAAGTAGGTACCTAGTATTGACTGTAATTTATAAAAGCAAGTGGCTATTCTCCGGCGCCGCGCCGGTCAATAGATCGGAAGCTATTCTCCGGCGTCACGCTGGTAATTAACAATCTATTGATCGGCGTGACATCAAGGCTCACAAGCGCCTCCCATATAATATTATAGGCCTAAGACTAATTAAATTTTAAATGACTAAAGAGAAAAGTCAAAGTGGCAATAGGCCTACTGGCTGATATAAACAATTACAGTAAAACTGACCTTTTATTTTGACTGCCTCTTGTCCTCCCGTTTCCATCCTTAGATGTGTCCATATGGCTTGACATTTGAAAGCTTGCAATAATACACACAGATTCCACAGTCATTTGCTTTCCTTTCTTTTCTTCTTTTTTTTAAAGCTTTTTGTTTGTTGTTTTGTTTCGGGGGTTTTTTTGTTGCTTTTGTGCTTTTGTGTCGTTTTTTAAAGTTTTTTTATTTTATAGCATTTTTCATGCGTCACAGTTTGCATGTGTCACAAAACCAGAGCCTGGACTTTGGGGAGGATTTTAAGCCTAGGCACTTCATATGTCCCCAACAAAGGCATGAGTCACACCCGATAGAGCTTTCATTTGCCAAATCTGTTGAGCATACTTTACAGGACCATGGCACTGTGGCAGCCACATCATCAAGAGCGCAGCTAGGAATAAGCTCCAGATTGTCCTCAATATCAGAAGCCGTCAATTTGGCACCAGTTCTTAGGTTTTCTTGACCACGATTATTAAGATACCAGTTAAGCATCATGTCTTGCTTTGTCTTTAAATCTTTTCTAGCGAAAGGCAAAACTTGGATGCGTGTTCTCTTCCTGGGAAGTCCAATAGCTGATGTGGCATCTCCCTTAGGCCGAAATCGATGTTATTTACTTTTAGCGGGCAACTTCAGGCCTTGCAATGACGATGATGCATCATCTGTGGTAGACACAGAGTCAAGAGCAGGGTCTGAAATAGAGTGCGGAATAGCAATGGTAGGCCCAGGGTCGAGCGAAGGGTATGCAACTGCAATAGCGTCGGAAGCAGGAGCAACGGTAGGCTCAGAGTCGAGCAAAGGGTCTGCAATAGCGTCCGGACGAGGAGCATTGATTGGCTCAGGGTCCATCGAAGGGTCAGCAATAGCGAAAGGCAAAACTTGGATGCGTGTTCTCTTCCTGGGAAGTCCAATAGCTGATGTGGCAGCTCCCTTAGGCCGACCACGATGTTAACGTTTAGCGGGGAACTTCAGGCCTTGCAGTGACGACGATGCATCGTTTGTGGTAGATACAGGGTCGACAATAGCGTTGGGACGAGGAGCAATGGTAGACTCAGGGTCGACAATAGCGTTGGGACGAGGAGCAATGGTAGACTCAGGGTCGACAATAGCGTTGGGACGAGGAGCAATGGTAGACTCAGGGTCGACAATAGCGTTGGGACGAGGAGCAATGGTAGACTCAGGGTCGACAATAGTGTCAGGACGAGGAGCAATGGTAAACTCAGGGTCGACAATAGCGTCGGGACGAGGAGCAATGGTAGACTCAGGGTCGACAATAGCGTCGGGACGAGGAGCAATGGTAGACTCAGGGTCGAGCAAAGGGTCTGCAATAGTGTTGGGACGAGGAGCATTGGTAGGCTCAGGGTCATCAACAATTTCTAAAATAAGGAAATGTTTTTCTTTTTGGAACACATCTAGCAGCCCATTCATCTGTTCCATCTTCAAATTGAATGTTTCCATGTCCCTTTGGGCCATTATTGTGGCAATTGAGTTGAGAGCAAGATGCGCCTTCTTGTATTTCTGGTTGTGGCCGAGCATTTTTGGTGCTTCTGGTGCTGTCACCTCTGTCACTGAAATTCCTCCTTCTTCTGTCGTCACCTCCATCGAATAGTGGCTGCGTGTCCACCTATGGTGAATCTCATTTAGATGACTATGCTTTGCACTGTATTCTTCCTTGGTTTTAGCCAATTTGCTGGAGGAGATCCAATAGCCTGGTTTTCTGCTCTGATGTTATGTTGGCTTTCGCAGTAGTCATCTCTCGGGCAAATGTCCGTAAAATGTGAAACAGACAAATCTGCATTGTTATCTCTGGCATTTTGAAAACAAGTCTTTCCGTGAAGTCCTTATCCGAAATGGCTATTTTTGTCTCAGTCCACCTGGCATTTTTGTCATAAAGATACAGAAAAACCATTCCATTGTAAGTGCTGGTATCAAGCATGCATCAGAATAACATTGAGTATGTAGATTCTATCTAGCTTGAGATTAGTATTCTTTATATTGCTGTTCATATATATTATGCATGCATGTGCCTGTAAGCCTGTGTGTGTGTGCATGTGTGTGTGTGTGTATGTGTGTGTGAGTGTGTGTGTGTGTATGTATGTGTGTACGTGGTGAAACAACAAACCAATGTGCCAGGTAATGGGCAATAAAGATGTATGTTATCTTATCTTATCTTATTTACACAATTAATTGAACAAAATTATTGAAAATATATCAACTTTGATGTTTTCAATGACTTTCAAAGTTTTTCAGTTAAATACATTTTCAGAGACTTTCAAAGTCTTTGAAACTAACATGCAAAGATAATTTGTTGTCTACCACAGTACAAAGATTTTTATCAAGCATTCAATATCAGCGCTTACCTTGAAAATTTGAATCATTTTACGCAATGTGACCTCATCTTCCTTTGCTACAAGAAAAAAGCATACAGGGTGGGTTTCCATGTTTCCATCAATAATCACAATGGAATAGAGGGGCATGTCCCGGCAACTTACTTTATAGGTAGTGTCCACTAGTAGCACTTCAGGGAATTTTGCAAATACCTCTTTCATCTATTTGTCTTGGAAAAAAATTCCTATAACTTCATCACCACTTCGCGCCACTTCCATTGATACAGACGATAGATTTTCAGACACAAACTGCCTTAATTCTTCCAATTCAGAATTATTTTGAGTGCTACAAGTTGCTCTGAAGATGATGTGGATGTCCTTTAGCAGAACAACCTTATTTGTATCTTCTTCAACGTGGGCCTGTACAAGTTTTTTGTTCGCATCTAGCTTGACCATCTCCCGTACTTTATTTGTTTGCTTTGCGTCCAGACTTCTCTGTGAGGGATAGTGCCTGAATTCCTCTTGGGTACATTCAAGGTTGTGATTTGGGCCGTGATGAGTCACAGTTAGAAAATCTCCATCAAACGATCATAATTTAATGACGAATTCACAGCCGCTCCGAAATGTAGACTGATTTGGGCGTTCACCTGTAGTGGGATGATGCCTGTACTTGCCATTCTTCACAGAGGCAAAGACAATACTTCCATAGACAAGTTCCTCTCTGAAGACTTGATTTTTTTACCTCCTTCTTTAATGCAGTGATTTTTTTACACTCTTTTTTATACAAATTAACAAAGTTTTCACTTTCATACAGTTGGACGACCAAAACAAATGAATAAAGTTACGTTAGACAATTATTTATAGATAAAATATAATGAAAGGTAGACTTACTAGGCCTAGTTATTGTATCTCAAAATCTGCGCAGACAAAATAAATGATTCATTAGTAATACACCAGCGGCGCGACGCCGGAGAATAGCTTCCGATCTATTGACCGGCGCGACGCCGGAGAATAGCTGCCGAGCTATTGACCGGCACGACGCCGGAGAATAGCCACTTGCTTTATAAAAACCTCACCATAAACTGTCTCCTTCAACTCCTTTATTTCAGGGTCACCACTGGCATCTGGGTCAACGTTCACACTCATGCTGCCGATCTCAGCTGTATGTACCTTGGCCTTGAGTGGGGGTAGCCTTTCTTATTCTTATCCACAACTGACAACTGCGCAAAACGGGAAAAAGGGGTCTAAGTGGAGTGGAAGGCTAACTGTGGAGTGAAATCAGAAATCAAAGAGAAGCCGCAGCCACAAGTAGATCTAAGCCACACTCATGACTCGTCACAGTATGCTGAGAATGATTGTAGATCTAGTTAAATTAGTAGCCAAGATCAAGATAGTAAATAGGTCTATTCTATTTAAGTTACACTATCACTACACTCTAGACAATCTTGTAATCTAGAATCTAGACTGAAAATTGCGTCCTAGATTCTAGATTTACCCCTGGGGAGAAAACAGTAAACTAAAAACAATTCGGGGCTCTTTGGAAATTGCCTTCCCATTCCATTGGCTTTACTTTTACTCTTTGGCTTTCTTACTCTTTACTGTTTCTTCATGTAAACAAACGGGAAGGCAATTTCCAAAGAGACCCAAATAATTCAAACTTTATACATTATTCTCAGGGTCTAGTCGTGGTCAGAAATAGAAGACATTATGGTCCAGATCTATTTGTTTATATATGAAAAATAGTATCAATTTTATAGCAACAGCTAACCAACCTGTGAAAGCGAAACTACTGCAAAATGCAAAAGGCAGAAGGCCGAAGGTCAAATAATATTAAAGTAGCGTCCCTTGATTTCTATGACGCTTTTCATAATTTTTATTGAAAAAGAATTACCATTACATACGTACCTAAACTCATTCAGCTTTATCTATTTCATAGTCTATTTCATTCATCTGTTTGTTTTAGTAAGTGTTTTACGGCGCTCGCAACTGCATAAGGCGATATGAGTGCCCAGAACACATTTAAGCATTTTCAATTTGGTAAAAACAATTTTGAATTTTGCCTGAGTGGTGGCCTAAGTCTACTTTTATCGATTTTAGGACCACTCCAAGGGATCTTTAACATGTGCATCTTGTACACACAGGGCCCCCAAGATTTTTTTCACCCTTACCCGAGAAGGCTACAAGTATAGGTGTTCGGTCTTACCTGCCCTTTAAGATCAGGAAAGTGGGTGAAAGACAGCAGAAGGAACCAGGAGTAGCAGTAGATCAAAAGAGTCAGGACCAAGAGACAGGGGGGTTGGGGGGCAAGGAGGAGGCAGCAGAAAGTGGAGATGAAAGCAGATATGACAGATCTGGAATATTATTAAAGAGCAGGAATTAAGGAGGTAAAAGGAAATAAGAGAGAGAAAAGTTTTCCGTCACTGCATGTCAGGTTTCGATCTGGAACCTTTTGAATGAGAAGCAAACACCATAGGCCTATAATATCTAGACCACGAGAGCCTCCACACTATCATCAGTGTGTAGTATACATCCAATGATGCCAGCCTTTATTGAGGCTTTTCATCACTGTTTATTTTTAAGTCTTGGTATAAGCCTCTTTTGACTTTGTGCCTGTTCATTTTATTTCCCTTCCTTCTGAATAGGTTGGGAACTTCCTTCCTCTCTTTTCTATGTCAAGCGTGTTTTCTTTGGAGGATTTTTTAAAATGTAGGTGGTGTTTTTGTTACGCCCATTTCTACACAATTTAGATCATATAGGAAGTGAGACTCAACTCTGCCTGTCAGGGCCAAACCAAGCCTGAGAAGGATATATATATATAGCCTTTTTAAAGTCCCAGAAGACACATACTCAGATCCTTTTCAAGTGGATGCCAAGGGAGAAGTGTGTAACTTCAATCAACAGTGTAAATCTTTTAGAATACCTTCATTTGTTTTCTTTCTTTTTTTATATCCACAGTCCAGATCAGTTCATGAAACAACAGCTGATGATCGCCTCTACATCAATACACAACGTAGCAAGAGACAAACAGTCTACAATGATGCATTTTTTTCCTCATCTTCAAGATTGAGAGGGTGAAAACCATGCCAAAAGAAACAAAACATCACAAACTAAAGTAAGTTTTTCATGCTACAAAATATGTTGGCACCACAGCACATATTACAGATCAATATAAGAGCAGTGTTTGAGAACTCATTTTTAAAATAAAATATATGCTATATAGCACATTCAGTGGTGAAGATCTGATTAGTTAAAGTTAGGCTCTTTATCTTACAAGTGCAGTTGTAATTATAATGGAGTTCAAGTTCAGCACAAGGAAGATAATCTCATCAGTTGTTTCTATTCTTGGGATGGGATGCTGTATCCAACACAGCTCAGGTTGACTCTGGCTAGCACATATGGTTGCCACAGCCAGCTTCAAGATCTCAGTAGTGCCAACAAAAACATAGAACATTTATAAGCAGTCAGTAAAGGGTTAAATAAAATGAACATCAAGGTGAAAACACTATGCATATATTACTTTTATTTTGGCAATGACATTTTTCTGTCTCTCTATTATATAAACATACAGGATATTCTTGTCTGCAATAAATAAATAGTCGGAATATAAATAAAACAAAACCTCTTATTTGGCAATAATGGCAGATAAAATTTTGGTAATTTGGGACTTCTTGCGAAAATCTTAAATAAAGAATATGAGCAAATCAGCAGTAGAGATGTAAACATAAAAGTATCTTTTTTTCACAACTTTGCCCCATTGTTGGACACTGGAAAACTTCAAGAATAAAGTGAAACATGTACATGTATATATCTATATCACCATATCTTTCATCAGTCACACAAATTTCCATTTCTTTTGGTAATAGGACACCGAGCAATCAAATCCACTAAAAGGGTCTGTAGAAACTCGTAAGAAAACCACGTACAATTGATCTGCCTAAGAAAGCAAAATTGTCTCAAGAGCCAAAATGGCTAAAACTAAAACCTAGGAAATAACTTTAAAACAATTATGTTTAAAGTACATACTACACCGGACTACAATTGCCTTCAATGATACATCTATCATAAAAAGCAAGTCGAAAAATTCAAAAGAGCAAACAAATTAAATTTTAGGAAGCCAAAATTTTCAAACTATTTTCTCGATATAATGGTAATAGCACTTATAAGACAATTTTGTTCTCATAGGTTGAGACAAAATCTTTCTAAAACAGGTTCTCTCAGCCAATGCCCCAATAGGGACCCAAATGCTCAGCTATCAAAAAGACAATAAAATGATTCTTCATACAATTACAGGGAAAGTCCAAAAAAATACAAAGGACCTTAAAAGTTTGGCAATTGCGTCAAGTTATTACATAAAAGTAGTAGGCGCTGTTCAATCACTACAGGCAATTGAGTTACAGCCTAATAGATCTTCATCTTGTCACTTTTTTACTTTAATTCTAAGAAATACAAAAGACCTGATAAGTTTGGCAAATGTGTCAAAAAGTCGGAACTGCTCGCTCATTGCAGACATGTGTTTGTGCTTCATTGATCTATATTCTGTACCCTGTGATGATGGCATATTCTGTGCCTAATTCAGCAGATGCCTGCTACAAAATGCTGGTTGAGGTAAGTACATAAAAGGATACAAAATAAATTAAGTAAATTTTAAGCAATGCACAGGACTAAATCAGCAGTATCTTGTCTTATTCAACATGTATACAAAAGACATGAGTTCTATTTCCATAAAGGAAAAGTATTGTCAGTGTCTCTGCCTTTCTGCATGGATTCCATGCAGCCCTGAAAAGTGGGGCAGGAGCAATACTTCCATCCTTTAAATCATGTTGAAGCTGGCATAAAACATTACAATAATTTAAGGAATTTCAAAGAAAACAGCAAATGCAACTATGCCAGCATAACTTAAACAAAATCAAATATCTTTGCAGCTAAGAACAAAAAAATGTAATGAACAACTTGAATATAATACATCTAAACGGATACATATAAAGCTACATTACTAACAATTAATTTCCTACATATCATTTTATCCTTCTACATTGACAAGTGCCTGTAAGTCGGCCCTGTATAAGAAGAAATGAGGTAAAAAGTACAGCAAATACTGTAGAACATGGTCCCACCCTACAATGGGACCTTACTGGAATCCCCCCCTTTTTTTTGGTATGTAAACTCAATTACCTGTGCTCAGGTTTAGTGGGGCAAGGAAAGGCCCAAACTCGGAAACAGCGGGAGAGATCGAGCGAGCTCTGGCTGGGGGGACGGGGATTGGGAAGGCTGTAGGCGGGCTCCGAACAGGCAGTCAACGGCGTTGTGATTGGCCAGTCCAGTGATGAGTGAGGTGGGGCAAGTGGCAGAGAAAGATGGTGCGGAGAGACGAGTTACGTGAGCAACTCTAAAAGTGATGTTCCATAGATTAGGCGCTCAGTATGAGAGTGTATTGGCCATAGCCCTAGGCCTAGGCTAGGCCAAAAAGTAATAGAAGAGGAGAGCATGTAGTGTGAGATTCCTGATTCATTGAATTGCGATCATTGATTCTCATAGGCATACGCATGCATCCACTTCACCAGCTCTACAGTTGGCCTACCAGTAAGAGAGACAGCACAGGCAACGAGACTGAGAAAAAGATGGCTTCCAACAAAGAGAAAAGGAAACGCTTCTCACTCAAATTAAAGGCCGAGATAACCAACGAAGTTAACAAGAAAAGAAAGACTAATCAAAAGCGCAAATTTCATCGATATGGAAGGGGGTTAATCAAGTGGATTTAAAGAAATTTGTCGGTAATTTCTCCTTTACATTCCTATAGCGGGAACTCACCTACAGCGGGATTTTTCTTCTGGAACCAAATGTCCCACTACAGCCGTGTTCTACTGTATAACTGTAAAAACTTTGTAAAGAGGAATGTCATATTTTAAAACATTGCCACGAGCCTTCTTCGACCATTGCCTGACATTCCAGTACATCGGAACCTCTGAATTACTTTGTTCAAAACTTCAACTCCTGTTTAAGATAAAACACAGCTTAAATACATGAACATACAGCAAACGTTAAAAAAAAGTCTTGTAAAACTATCAACACTTCAGCAAACTCCCTTATTCTTCTGTAAAAGATAAAGCAACTGCATCTTCAAAACATGTTTTTGGCAGAACGATGTACGATTCAAATTATTATTTATCTCAATCAATGATGACATGAAAATAAAAAAGTACTGAAGAGCTCGTAAGAACTACAAATCATTTTACAATCATACATAAAATACACACACCCACACTCTTTGAAATTATTGCTGCAAGAGCTTCTAGAACTATTTATAGACTAATTGTTTACTCCAAAGCAACAACAGACCCCATGACAAATTTTAAGAGTTGAAGTTATTGATACTGAATGTGATTTGCATTGTTCAAATAAAACAGTAATTATCAATCACCAATGACCTAAGCCAGACTCAGTATACGAATCAGATTGAACTGTTTTGCTTGTGACATAAAATAAAACACTATGTTGCTGAGTAATCAAGGCTTAATTATTTCAAAAAGAGAATGTTGCTCAGAGAATGTACTAACCGATTGAATGTCATTTCTGTCATTCTGAGAATCAATAGAAAGGATTTCTGCTTTTAACCATGTATGCCTTACAGCCTACCATCCCTCTTCCCAGTGATCACAGCTTAGCATATAACTAACTCACTGGTGAAGAGCAACTACTTTGGCTCTGGTTCACATGTCTAATGGCATTGGGTCCAGATACATATCAAAAGTATTCATGGAACAAAAATTAGCAAAAAATAACCAGAATCGTATGTTTCCATGTAGACAGATAAAATAAGCTTGTAAAGCAAATCAACAGTATAAATTTAAAGTACTTTGCCAGAAATACCTCCTTCAGAGATAAACATTGCTTTCTGCTCTTTCATTTTCATTTCACTGAAACTGTAGGATACATAGAATATCCAGCTGTTTAGCATCTCACTGCCAAAATCTAATGTGACACCCGAGGATCCGGATCTCAGAACTCAAATTCCTCATGAAAACAACCCTACACCAACAGCTTCTCATGTCCCTAAGACAAGCATGCTCTATATTCAATGCACCAGTGCAATGTAGTACCCACTGAAATGTAAATGTCAATCCATAAAGCCTTAAATTCTTTGACAGTCCCAACAAGATCCTTCAAACTAAAACCCCTGGAAGATAGCTTGAATCTGATCATTTTTGTCTTCCATAGCATGATAGACCTATACATCTTGCCTCCCTTATATATAGTCAAGTTGATTGATACATGCAATACCTCACAAGTCTGTCAGTGAGGACTAAAGGACACCTACTCAAAAATATCATTCTTATGAAGGCTAAGATAAAGGAAATAGCTAGTTTTGATGCTTTTGGGGTCTGAAATATAAGGTTTCTTCAACGCAAGATAAAACATTTTTTCACCATAGCTCATTGATAGAAGTCTTAACGTATTTTCATCCATCATGTTCTAAACGAAAAAACTTCATCTTCACTTCACCTTCTACATGAGAGGTATCGTGATGAAATCAAATGCTCGTCCAAAAAATGAAATCGAAGTAACTGGAATTTTTCCACCAGTTTGGCAATTTTATCTAACTTTCATTTTTGGGCTCAATACCTTTTATGTCCATATATGAAAATGAACGTTGATTAGAGGTTGATTAGAGGCACAAAAAATGTAAATTTGCAGTTTCCAAGCACTCTCAAGCTTTGAAAGTCAACAAAATTAGGTGGAAATTTTGTTGCTAATTCTACCTCCTTCGATAGCAAATATCTCGACTTCTGTTCAAGATGGAAGGTATTTTTTTCACTAAAAGTAAGACAAATAAACAAGCTTTAAGATGATGCAAATAACTCCATATGCCCCAAAATTGACGAGCACCCGATTCCGCCGCGTCATGACACACATTCAATAATAAACGAAACAATACAAACAAGTCCCCAATCACCTCCCACTATCAATAAATAATAATAAACACAATTCTCAGCACATGAAATATTATGATCTGTTGAGAGGTTGGATTTTTTTTCATTATTTTACTAACAATAACATATTTGTGCTCAACAGACACCCTCAATAACTCAATAACCATTCATAGATGTGCTTGGTTCTTCTCTCAGCTGTACAAGTGTCTCAGTCTCTCATTTAGGTCTTTTTCCTTCTTCAGTAAATCATTGGAGTGCTTCTTGAAAGCCTCAAATTCCTGGAACAAAGATACAAAATCATATTAACAACTCAACAGGAGGCCCATCATTGTAGTGTAAGAGGATGTGGCATTTTCACAATTTTCAGAATAGATTCTACTTACTTATGTCATTGAATAGGCACAGTAACAAAAGTGAAAAATATCTCTGTGCATGGCATATCAATATTGGAGTCAATTTGTCTGATTCATAAAAATATTATATTTAATGCATGAAAACTGCCTATGTGAAACAAATTAATACTAAGTTTGAGTTCATCTGGTTTATGTTTCAAAAAGCAAGAACTTATTGCCAGCAGGGAAACTCACAATTCATAATTTATTCAGCAACGTTAATAGAAAACACATACAATATTTCATAGAAAATAGCCTAAGCATTTACAGTTAAATCTGTACAAGACGGAATCCCAAGGGAGCTAGGAAAAAATTCCGTCTTAGACATTTTCCGTGTTAGACAGGGGAATTTAAGAGCGAGATGGTGGAGGTTTCAAAGGCCCAGCCGGTGGGATCGTGCGTCGCTTATCCGGTCGGCAAGCAGTTGTCAAAACTTCACACCTCTCAACTGCTTATGCTATCCTTTCTAATAATGACAAGTGTCAGTCTTACTTATCCAATTACCATCAGTGCTTGCATTTCAAAAGACTACTGTTTGACCTATTAAAAACAGAGATGTTTAAACATCTCCTTTGCTTCCACCCTCAGCCCCACCCATTGGTGTAACAAGCACAGTCAACCAATGCTACCCCTCACTGCCATGTAACAACGATTCGAGGAACTCTTTTCACGGCTGGCCGTATGATCAGGGCAGGGCAGCAGGCATTGGTAAAACAAATTTCACACCTCTGGCTTCTGGCTACCCATGAAAGTGTCCACGGTGGCTCGCTTACCCGAGCACTTTCGCAGGCACTCGTTGGATTTCACACCCACACCACTATGACCATCTGCATCACTCAGGGCTCACATAGATGTGGTAACATCTACCCCCAAATTGCACCCACTACCCTTCCTCGCCCGCTGTTTAGAGCTGAAGCCTTTTCTGTCTTAGACAGTTAAAACCCTCAGAAGGGAGCGGAATTTTCTTTCTGCTTCCGCACTGGACAGGTTTCCGTTTTACACAGGTAATTAAAGAGTAATATATCAATGGGGGAGTGGGGAGATTCCGTTAAGACAGACTTCCATTTTACACAGGTTTCCGTTAAGGCAGGTTCGACTGTACTTCGAATACTCACAGAAAACATGTAAACTCTACAGACTTTAAAAGTGAGAAACTTCCCTGCAATGAAAAAGAACAATGTAGCTTAATAGAATGCATTCTAAATTTGAGAAAAGACATATTATATCCGAATTTGACATCTCACCTTAACCATCTGTGAATACTTGGAATCAGAATCCTCCAACGCATCAGTTAATTTTCTGACTCGTAAGTTTGAATTCACTGCATCTGCTTCCCGTCTGAAAGTGAGATACACGATTGTTTACAGTTTGAATTAAAATCATGAACAAATGAAAGCTCATTTTCCATATATAACATCTGTAAATAGTATAGTAAAACCTTTAAATATCAGCTTATGGTATAATTTATATAGTGTGTCAGTGTGTAGCTTATTTAAAAGTTAGGATTTCCAAATTTAATGTCCCGTCTGTGGTAGCCTCAGATTGGTTGAGAGGCATGAAAACTATCTTTTATAAACTAAAAAAAAAACAAATCCCAAGTTCAAGAATGCAGAGTCCAGGATTTGAAACAGGGCCATCAACTCCATAGTCTAGCACGATACCAACTGAGCAAATGTAACGACCTTGCATTTAAGTGAATGGGACAAAAGATAATTGAGGAAAAAGAAAGTTATAGCAATAAAAGCTCCCTGTGCTGTCATTATCTCATTCCAGGCAAAGACTTATTGGAAATAAATTTTGCTAGTCTTCAAAATAAAGAACAGAGTGGTTCAAATTTTCCTCCACGACATCATCTCTTCGGTATGCTTTAAGTAACACAAGGCAACAATTCTGGCATATATAGACTAAATCAGCTATTTGAGTTTTTCACAAACTTTGGAGCTATAAAAACTTACTCAAACTTATTTTCCATATTATGAACAGCTTTCTCCATTTCGGCAATCTTTTTCTGAAGATCCTTGTTGTTCTCCTGTTCTTTCTGAAATTTATCAGCAGAAGCAAAAAAGCACGATAAAACAGTAGTATAACCCACAGAACAGAAAATATGAAAGAAAGGTAAAATTCACAATCAAGATAAAATTTATAAACAAAGCAACAACGAAAAATATGACACAGAACACAAAAACACTGGCCTTTAAAAGCAGTAAATAGAATCTTCAAATGATTATGCTGTAGCTACTGCTACATGAACCTGCATTGTGTACAATCATTTTCATCATTTTGATTGACCAAAGGTAAGTCATCTTATTTTGAAGAGACGAAAATATGTTACACGTTATATCAAAATAATATTGCAAAGAACAAACAACCGCACATTAAAAATTTTAGTACCCATTCGATTTTATTTAAAACAAAATATAACAATTAGAACGGTTACTCAAAGACAAAATTATCAACCAGAAATGTTTACGGGTAAAATTGATGTTGCTATCACTTAAAATTTCTTGCTTCCAAATTTATAGCGGTTAACCCCTTCTATGCTGCAGGTAAATAGGCCCCTGTGCCGGGGGAAATCCCATGAACCAAGGCTACTCAGGGGTCACCCCACTCTACCTCCCATAACGTTTTAATTTATGGATATTTCCTCATGCATTTCTGCATGTACATTCTACATTGAACCACAGTTCTATTTACATAATTTTGGGGGGATTTCATTGACAGATAGATGGAGAAAAGTCGAAGTTAGTACAGTAGTCTCCACCTAAACAAAAGATTCCGCGACTGCGGTTATAAATTATGAATACAAAGGCGTTGAATGGGTTGGGGGGGGGGGAGGAGAGGTGCAGAAAACGGACTCACTGCACTGCTAAGAACTTTTAAATGTCGGGAACAGATAAGAGGAAACTGTTCAGGATAGATCTAGTCACAGGTAAGAGCTCTCAGCTTTCCAAGCAACCAGATCTGACTGCTTGTCATCTATTGCAACTCAGTAAATGAATGGATGACACCAAGCTTGTCTCTTGTGATTGGTTAGACAAGTACGTTATAAGTTTTTCGAGCACAGTTGATTCCTTTACTTATCTTTAATAAGAGGCCTATCTAGTGTTTTACAGCAGTCACGTGTGTTGCACATCATAGGTCTAACTAAACATTACGTATGCTGTTATTCAAACTCAAACACCAGTCAGAAACTTTCTCTCAAAGACGCATTTCAACTGACCAATCAGAAGACATTTCAGTCCTCCCCTCCCCAATATATCACCCGACCAGTCCTAGACCTATGTGTCCGTGGAGAGTTGGGCGTGAAAACTCTTTGTTCTGCATGAGGATCAGTCTCACCAAATACAGGTATCTGGTTGCCTAGGCTTGTCTTATAATGCAAGCTGTGTAGGCAGCAGCAAATATTTCCCCTTGTCAAGCTTTGCCTGTTGGCGTGTTTTGCGGATTGAAGTGTGCATTTGTGGCCGTGCTTTTGTGTGTTTGGCGGAGTTGTTTTTGGCTTTATGTTACAGTAATCTCTGCCTAAACGCGAAGAGGTTAAAGATCAAAATACATTACTTGAACTAACTTTCCCCTAAATGATTTAATTTTAAAAACTCGTCATATGACGAAAGCGTGCGTTAGAGCGGAGCGTGCCTTTGTATGGCGTGCGTTTACGCAGAGACTACTGTAACATAAAGCCAAAAACAACACCGCCAAACAACAGAAATTCCAGTAATGATAAACTGAGACCAAAAAAAAGGGGAATACATTTTGTGTGAGTGTTTACAGATAAAGAGGAAGTGACAAGAGGCTTTTCCTACCTTATGCAATGCTCGTACAATCCATATTTAAGTATATATATAAATATATATATATATCTATATCTATATCTATATATATATATATATATATATCTATATATATATATATATATATATATATATCTATATATATATATATATATATATATCTATATATATATATATATATATATATATATATATATATATATATATAAACATTTAAGCCCATATGTGTTTACTGCCAGTAAATCATTTTTGTGTGGTAGATGTTTTAGACCTCGATCTAAATCTGAATCTGACGCTTTCAAAAGGGGGGGGGGGAAATGTAGGTAAACATAAAGGGAAGGACTCAATAATAATTAGAAGAGTTTAGCAGTAACATCCTTTATAATTGGTATCAAAACAACTTCTGTCATAGTCTCATAAATCCTACGAGCCATAGGCTCAGCGTTACAGGGTTCAGGTCCGTAAATTCTACGGGCGCGGCAGAGAAGAAGTTAAAGATCAAAATACATTACTTGAACTAGCTTTCCCCTCTGCATCACAAGTGACAATAATTCTGCCTTTTCCTTCTGCAACTGCTGAAACTTTTCGCTGGACTCGCCTTCCAATTTTTGTTTACTCTCAAGTTGCACCTGTAGTTTGTGCTCAGTTCCTGAAATAAGGATAGCGGAAAGAAATTTTATGATTGCATAAAAGGTAAAAATTTTTTAAGTCTACTTGTTCATATTTGAGTATGTGAGTGTGTGAGTGCATGTGTGTGTGTATGTTACTGTGTATGTTTGTGAGTGTGTGTGCTTGTGTGCATGTGTGTGTGTGTGTGTGTGTGTGTGTGTGTGTGTGTGTGTGTGTGTGTGTGTGTGTGTGTGTGTGTGTGTGTGTGTGTACATGTGTGTGTGTGTGTGTGTGTGTGTGTGTGTGTGTGTGTGTGTGTGTGTGTATGTGTGTGTGTGTGTGTGCCTGTGCATGCGTGTGTGTGAGAAAGAGAGCATGTACGTGTGTGTGTGTATGTGAGCACCTGAGTGTGTGTTTGTACATGTGAATGTGTGTGAGTCAATATGAGTGTGTGTGTGTGTCTGTGTGTGTGTGTGTGTATGAGTATGTGTATGTGCGTGTGTGCGCATGTCATAGTGTGATTATGTGACTACATGTATCCCCTTGTTCAGCCTATATACAAGTGCCTATAAATATACCGGTACACCAAACTTAAAGATATGGATGGGGTGAAGCTAAGGATAGATGTATAACATGTGAAGTTGACACAAAATCTTAAAATGTAAAACCAAGGTCATTGTCCTCCAATGTCTTTTCTTAGTGATTTTAGTTAAATGCCTTGAACAGACAACTTATTCACTTCAATAGTGGACTTAACAGTGGAGCCCGGACTTTTCTTTCAAGTCAAACTATAAACAGCAGCTAAAGAATGGTCTTGTATGTTTTACCTTTTCTACATCATTCAAACATTCAATTCTTAAGACACTGTATTGATTCAAACCAACCTTTCAATTTTTCTTCAGTATCCTGAAGGCGTTTGAGTAGATCTCTTGCTTGTTGAGTATTAGAGCTGTGCATCTCTGAGATCTGTTTTCTCAAAGCATCTTCTTTACCTCGCCACTCAACTTGCTGTTGCCTAGAGTGTCAGCAATTTCAATTCATTTGAAAATTATTTCACAAACACAGAATATAAAGGACAATGGGAATTTGGGGAGGGTGAGTATGGTTTTTCAGACACTATTAACGCATCCAGGAAATAGAGCCTAAACATTTTTTTTTTTTCATTTATAATGCAAAAAGGGCAAACTTTAAGGCTTAGCTTAGCTTACTACCCATTACGCCATCTGGCATTTAGGGCAGCAACAAAGGATCTCCAGCTCTGTCTGTTTTGGGCAATCTTGGTCAACGTCCCCCACGAATGGTTTTGGGACTTCATTTCAGAATCTACTTTGCGTCTTCAGGTCACTTTGGGTCTGCCCCTCTAGCGATGTCCTTCGGGTGTCCAGTGGAGTGCAGTCTTTACAATAGAGTCTGGTTCTCTTCTCAGAACAAGCCCAATCCATCTCCATCTTCTCCTTGTTATCATGACGGCCATGTCCGCTTTAATGAGTAGATCCCATATACTTTTCTCCTACTGCCTAAAATGTGGCTGACAGAATACTAATACAAATCACAAGTTTCTATTTAGACTAAAAGTATTCCAAAGCAAGGGCAAACTCACAAACAAAGACACACAGTGTATGCCTAGTACAAAAGAAATATTCAAAAATTAAACCTATATATATTACAATTTTGGGTCTGTTTTATTCCTATTTCTTGTGCCTTATACATTTTATAAAAAGCAAAATAATTCCCTTCGAAGTAGCCCTTTAAATATTGCTCCCTTGAAATGACATCATTATAGAAAGCCGTTTAAAAACATTTCCATTCTTCAGGGGTACATAGAATATCAAAGTTGAAATTAAACACAAACCTCAGTTTTTGTTCCAAGGCAGAGCACTGTTCATGGAGACCAGCACATTTTTTATCCAACTCTTGAATTTGATGGTCCTTCTCTATTACTGTCTTTGAAAACAGTTTCCCATTCTCATCTTTCAGTCTAGCATTTTCTTCTCGGAGATCCTGATTCACACGTTTGTAATCATCTTTAATGCGTATCATTTCCTCATGGTTTGAAGCTAGATTGTTGAATCTTCCATCAAGAATATTGTACTTTTTAATTTCTGTTTTCAGCATTGAATCAGCCTGTGGAATCAAGAAAACAAACACCTTTAGACACATAGATAATCATCAATCAATATCATTCTCCCCCATTTATTCATCTGCATGTATTTCTTTCAAAGTCGTGGTGAAGCAAACATTAATACCATGTGTTTCAGCATGAAATTTAATACTCACTTGTTATCAATTGTAAAATATTGCGGTTCTCGTGTTTTTGGGTTCTTTTTATAATATAAACCCAACCAATGAAAGAATCTAATGTCCCCTACAAACTTCCATTTTGTCTATTGCATATAATGGGAAAATATGTATATCTTTGTCTCAGCTTATTTTGCTAATCTTCTAACTGCAGCAAAAACTTCTTATCCATTCGCCATTTATATCATGCATCTTATATTTATATATCTGTCATCCCGGTCAATATCAGTCGTAAGAAGCAAAGTGCTATAATAAGGTACGAGGCTCGAAAGGCAAAAATGTGACATTCTATGCAATTTTTTTGTTTTGTTCTATTGAAAGTTTGATATCTTCTGCTTCATTTAAAATGAAAATAAACGACTATAATCGACTATAAGTATTTTATTTTGAATTATTTTGGAGGTGTGTGTGATTAGTCGTGAGCTTGTGTGACGAGAGTAAGGAGCCCATTTTCTCCTTTTCGTGTTTCCGCACCTTGTGCTCTAAAAAGTTCCATATTTTTGTCAAATATTGTCCGATTTACTTCATTTTTTTTTTCAAATTGTAGGAAAATGGGGATATTTTTTGTAAATTATGTTAACCTTATTTTGAAATTTCCTTCATGCGACTGATTTTGACCGGGGGGGTCACATGTGTGTTATGGCGGGGTGGAATCAGGTGCTTGTCCAGTTTTAGGCATTTGTAGTTATTCATATTATCTGAAAGCTTGTCCATTTGACTAGTTTTAAATGAAAACAATATGCATCTGCCTTGAATACAAGTCGATATATTTGCAAGTGAATGAGACGGGGGGCCATCTGGTTTCCGGGATAAAATCAGCGAGAAAATGATGGCAACAGATTGGTGAATTCTATGGTTTAAGAGTCCTTGGAAAATGTGTATTTTTTATACCTTTAATCAATGTTTTCAAAAAAATCTACACACCAATGTGTTCTAAAATGGTCGAAGTGTTGAGCAAAAAAAGAAAATTCGATAAAAAATTTCCAAATGCAATGAAAAATGCCAGTTTCTTTGATTCCATATATATGTGTGTGTGCGTGTGTGTGTGTGTGTGTGTGTGTGTGTGTGTGTGTGTGTGTGTGTGTGTGTATGTGTGTTCATGTGTGTGCATGAGTGAGTGTAATTTATCAATTATCTCTTCATATACAATCAAACATAATTTCAACACATAACAGATTGCATTAAATGACAGTGTGAGCATAAAAGATGACTACATCTAATATGAAAGAAGGATTAAAGATTACAGACCTGGTCTCTGAAGTCCAATAGCTCTTTGTTTATCCTTTCAAGAGTCTGAATTTTCATAGTACCCTCATCAGCTTTCTTTTTCAGTATCATGATGAGTTGACATTGCTCATCTATTCGAGAACGTAATTTAGCATTCTCAGTCTTATCATCTTCACTAAGAGCCCTCAGCTTGCTGAGATTCTCTTGCATTTCATCCATGTCCTGAAGAAAAAAATCAATCACAAGAAATGAAACATAAAAACATATTTTGAACTAAACCTTTCTTAAGCCAAGGCAGAGTTTCAGGCAATGTTTCCTCTCGACAAAAACAATAAATTGGGAGAGGAAAACTTGAGAACAGAAAGAGAGGGCAAAGATTCAGGGAAAGAGAGTCATAGAAGAAGCAGGAAGAATTCACATGAGAGAGGGGGACAGAAATGAGAAAAACGAGAGAGTAGAAAGCTATATGAAGAATAGAAGAATTATGTTTACAAAAAGGAAAAAGCACACAAAAAAACTGAAAAGAGATAAAATGGGGCAGGAAGTAGAATTATTCAGCACCTAATTGTGAAAAGCTAAACTTCAACATTTTTAGAAACACAGACCAAAAAGCAATCCAGCATTATTTGTCCATCAAAATGACACTACTAAAGAACCTAAACATATCTAGAGTATATTTTCTTTTTAGGTTACTCATATAGATAAAGACAGAGCTATCCTTTAACTGAAGTTTAAGCTTCGTAAAGAGACGATAAGGGTTTCTAAACAAGAGCGAGAATACTCGTGAAACGCAGGAGGGTGGAAACCAGCCGTACAAGTAAATATGAGTTATATAATTAACAGCCCTAGATCCTCCGCAAGAAGCATAACATTACAGTACACCCTCTTATTCCATTCAAAATAACATAAGAATGTTCTTCAGGTGTAAGAACTGTAACGTACTTCCTTGATAGATCTACTATCAAGTTACCTCTTACCATCATTGCCAGAGTCAAGAATTTTTAATCACATCATAAGGAGGAAGATTTGTAAAATATAAAAGGTTTTGAAACCACAGCTGCATTTTTATCTCCAATATCAAAACATCTCAATTTGCTTTTACTTTTACCTAGGCTACACTGTCTTGCCTTTGTCTTTCAATATGCTGTGAAGTACAATGAACACATCTACACTTTTATACTATCACCAGCTGTAATTTGTTAAAAATTGTAACAAAAAGCAAAAGCCAAACCTTTGAACTGTCGTAGACCATCTGGCGCAATTCCTTGGGACTTCTTGAGCTTTGAGACGACATGATACAGGCTTCTTCGGGTCTTTTCACAGGCCCACTCGTCAATTCTCACAAGCCCAAGCTGGGAGGGAGGTCGACGCTGAAAGCCGCTGAGGCGGAGGAGCAGTGCGAAACGAAAAGTTCTCCAACACGAGAAACTATGACATGGTGGTTGAATTTCCTTCTATCTCTTAGTTACCATAATTTCCATAATCCGCACGGTATTCAAGTATTGTAGGAATGCGAAAAGATGCTCCTCAGCTCAGATACACCAACGAAAGAGAACGTCGCACATAGCTCATGCTCGGTATCGAATGAAAACAATCTTTCACCGGAAATGCTTTTGTACCTAACTTGTTTCTGAATTAAACGAGCTACGACAAACAGGCTGAAGCAACAACATCACATCATGCATTATTTCGTTTTTTATATTCTCTACTTTTTTTTTAATTATCAACACAGAATGCTGTTCTCAGAAAGAAATCAAAGGATAGTAATAATAGCCTAAACACAGAAGGTGCAATTTTGAGAGCTGGGGTGGGGTGAGGAAGGCTGCATATTATTACGTATTTAGAGCGCGTTAGTTCATTTGACTTTCAGAAGGTCAAACAAATCAATTTACAATTTTACAAGCCAGCGGTTGAGGATTCGCCACTGGCATCGTAAACACCTGTCGGCACAAACATGAATATTTTTTTTTTATGCATAAACTGGCGCCAGGCGCCAACTGTAGGACCAGATATAGATCTATATAAAGCTAGTAAAGGTTAATGGTCCGAGAAGACACCGAATGAAGAGAAAGAGAGAGAGAGAGAAAAAGAGAGAGAGAGAGAGAGAGAGAGAGAGAGAGAGAGAGAGGGGGGGAGAGAGAGAGAGAGAGAGAGAGAGAGAGAGAGAGAGAGAGAGAGAGAGAGAGAGAGAGAGAGAGAGAGAGAGAGAGAGAGAGAGAGAGAGAAAGAGAGAGAGAGAGAAAGAGAGAGGGGGGGGGGGGCATACAGGCATATGGCCAAAGATACTACACCCTACGGCTGTACCATCTTTGATATAGCCTAGACTGGACAGATGTGATTTTCGGGAGGAAAAATACGTTTAGGTCAGGTCTATTATCATGAAACACTATTTTAGAAAGTTTGTTTGTTTGTTTGTTAATTTTAAATGCAGAAGCTAGGTGTTTAACACCCTCATCGACACTATTTAGATCATTTAGGAGGTGGGCTTCTGCCTTCAGGGCCTAACCTGGCTACTGAGATATGAGAAGGATACAATATCCCAAGCAGAAAGACCGAGGCACTCGATAAAAGGACTCTTTGCTCGAAATCGTAGTAGTATTACTAGGGTCTCCTGCTAACCCGAGCTGGGAGAATACATCCCAGCAGGAAGACCGAAATAGGCCTACGGTACTCGATGAAAGTTTTCTCTCTACTCCAGAGTCAAACTCAAGTCTCCTGCGTGCGACAGCGAAGCGCCCAAACGCCACACACCACAAACACCGATGAGTTGAGATTTATGTGTAAATACATAATGTGCAACATGTCATCATCCAGTGCCAGATCTGCGACAGACATCGGCGATCACTGTTCTCCATTCTTTCCTTAGCTCGGAGGCTAAAAAAAAAAAAAAAAAGCTGGAATCTATGTTTCCCTGATCTTTCCCTGTTACCCATTTGTTTAGGTTCTCCAAGTAGACTGTTCTGGGCCGACCCCTACCTCGTTTGTCTTCAATTTTGCCAGTGAGAGCTAGATGTTCAAGACCCTTAAATGTCTATTCAAGTGTCCCAAAAACTGCATTTGTAGTTCCCTGATTGTTTTTAACATATTGAGCGTCCCACGTGGGCTTCATCAAGCAATAGGCCTATACCTCATTTGATTTCTTTTCCTTCCACGATACTCTTAGCAGTCTCCTAAGAAACCACATTTCTGTTGTTTCTATTTTATTTTCACTGTCTTGAGTGATTGTCCAAGCCAAAGAGAAGGGCTGACCATACTTAGCATTTCAGAACTTTTTTGGTGGTCATTGAGACGTTTCTATTTTTCAGGATTGGGCTAATTTTATTACTAATAATAATAAATGGCATTTATATAGCGCTCAACCCCGAATAAAGTACACAGGCTCTGAGCGCTTTATATTTTATTGAAACCAGCCTTAGCCATTGCATTTCATTGTAACCATTCTCCGTTGTATTTCTGTGGAACATTTGGCATCAGATGTTATCGTATATTATTATCTTAGATATTTGAACTGTTGGACTTGTTTGATCTTTTCACCTTTGCTAATGAGATTACAACTAGGATTTGCTGCTTTTTTTTATATGTTACCGTGCATTTTGTTTTCTTTACATTCAACCACTAATCCTTTACGTTCACTTTCTGTAACAATAGTATCTAGAAGCAATTGAAAGTCTTTTTTTCTGAGCCTGCTATTAAAACTGTGTCATCTGCATACCTGATGTTTTTTAATAATATTTTCTCCATTTACTTTGAGACTTGGACATTCTTCTATGTTTCTAAGGATAGTTTCACTGTACATGTTAAAGAGGTCTGGTGACATAACACATCCTTGCCTCACTCCTCACATAATCTGCGTATATTCACTGTATTCTCCATTAATTCGTACAGCAGAGTTTTGGTCCCAGCACAAATTCCTGATAACTCTTAAATCTTTTTATATATCTATGTCTAGTTTTTCCAGTATTTTAAATAGCTCATCATGTCTAACCTTATCGAACCCCTTTAAATAATCTATGAAGCATAAATACAGATCTTTCTGTGCTTCAATACATCTTTCTATTAAACATTGTTAAGGTGAATATAGCATTTCTGGAGCCTTTGTCAGGAACAAAGCCTGGACATGGATGGCTGGTGCCTCTATAAATGAATCATTGATGGTCAGGTCAGGTCAGGTCAGGAACAAAGCCGAACTGCGTTTTAGATATCTCTGGTCTTACACTTTTTCTCAAACTCAATCTTCCCAATTACTCGCTTCAATATTTTTATAAAATGACTCATAAGGATAATTGTTCTATGCATAGATCTATCACACTCAGAGGCACCTGGTGTTTTCGGTAAAGCAATACAACATGTACCTTAAATAGAATTATATATTAAAAAAGATAGTTTTATCTTCTAGACAAGAGTGTAATACATATATATATATATATATATATATATATATATATATATATATATATATATATATATATATATATATATATCTTTCTCTCTCTCTCTCCCTCTCTCTCTCCCTCTCTCTCCCTCTCTCTCTCTCTCTCTCTTTCCTTGCCCCCTCTCATTCAATGAGACTGTTTACAGCTATAGCCAGATCTGTTCTACTTACCTGCAGCTGTTTTATTTTCACTTGTGCCTTGAACAGATGTCTCTCAAATTGGCCTTTTCTTTTATTGCTACTCGTAAAACTTGATTCTTTCTCCGAGTCACTTTTCGAGACTGTCTCCTTCCACGTCATGCACAGAATGACAGATGTGCTTTCTATTTGTATAAATAGCACCATTTCAAACTTTGGTGAAACAAAGAGATAGGTCTGTTTTTTGTTATTAAAAAAAAAAAATTAGGCCTAGATCAAAGTGCTGTTGTGCTCGCATCAACAAAATTTACACCATTAAGGAGACTGGATTCAACCTTGCCTGTCAAGGCCAAACCAGACTGAGAGGGAAATAACATAACATCTGGGCAGAAAATTTTAAAATTCGCCCCACTCAGGAATTGAACTCAAGTCTCCTGGGTGCAGAGCAAAGCACCTAACCGCTACGCCACAGACAACGGCGAAGTCAGTCAGTTTGTATTGCCATCTTAAATACAACGCAAGATCAGCTTCCTTTCATTGACTAAATTCACAACAACTTACAACTACATTCCATGTGATGCACAAGTATGTTCCATGATGAGAATTCAAATATCTGGATTGTGCCACAAGCTTGAAAGAAGATATACTGATTTTTATTTCTCTTGCAGCATATTGATAGTCTTATAAAAAGAGATCTTGCTCGGTAAATTTGAGCTGATAGGGTATGGTAAGGGTTCAATTCCTCTTTCAAAACAGCAGAAATTCTAGTTTATTAGTATTTACCCCAGTAAATTTGCCTTTGGCATCGGACCTCGGATTTTCTATCCATTTTCATCGTAAATAACCAATGTGGGTCTTGAGTCATGAATGAAACAAACCTTCTCAAACTCGGTCATCCCAGATTCAAGGAAACCCCATTGAAGTCTCGACCTAGGGTCATTTGAAAGACAGCCCTGCATGACAATAACTGAGATTTTAACAATAGCCTTGGCAATAACTGAGATTTTAACAATAGCCTTGGTCCAACTTCCGTATGGTACTTTGAATTTTCCTTTTACCCCCCCCCCCCCCCCCCCCAAAAAAAACACAAAAACAACAACAACAACAAACAAACGAACAATGAAACCCCAAAGTCAAGATACAGTTGTAAAATGTTAAAATTCCTGAAAATGTCACACTGGCCTCTCCTTGCTGAAAGGTTGCTTTAGTTTTAGTGTTTTACTGCACTTGCAACACAATAAGGTCATATAAATGCCGAAGATTAGAGGTGTTACAAACACAAAAAAAGAAGGAGGGGAGATAGAGACGATATATTTTTTATAGGAAAGAAGGAGCAAACCAAACCAGAGCACCTGCCAACCACCCACGAAAATTTCGAGTCATGGGTCATGTGGAGTGCAGCTAAAGACAAGCAGTTTCGACCTGTAAAGGGATATGTATAAAGGGTGGGGGAATGGGGCACTCTTGGCCTAGCAACTTTGAGTCAGGGGCAAACCTTTATATCAAAGTACCTGGTTTAATTCCTGTGCCATGAAGAAACTTGAATTAAACATTCTGCAAGATTTTCACTTTTTTATTTTTGGGTAGGCCTACATTGTAAGAAACAGTCTTCTCCGATAACAACAAAACACAAAAAGGTCTCCTGTGCACATTATGCAGGTTAAAGTTAAATTAGTTTAGTACAGGTTTTACGGCACTTGCAACTGCATAAGGTCATATTATTATGAGCGCCAGAAGATTAGATGTGTTACAATAGAGTAACAAACAAAAAAGAAGGAGGGGAGATAAGGACGACAGATGTTTGATAGAAAAGAAGGAGCAAACCACACAAGAGCACAAAGTTAAAGATAATTCTAAAGCAGATGCAAGTAGAAAAAGAGAAGAGAGTATCAAGTTGTTTTCGTCTTTTTTTTAATGGAGGTGTTTTTACGCCCCTGTAAATACAATTTAGATCACTTAGGAGGTGGCTTTTGATCCTGCCTGTCAGGGCCAAATCGGGCTGAGAGGGATACAACATCCCAGCAGAAAGACTGAGATACTCAATACCAAGGTCTCTTGCATGCGACAGCAAAGCACATAATCACTCAACTGCCATCATTTTTTAAAGTTTAGTATGTGCAGTTTTTACAATTTTACAGGAGAGGAAAAAACCGGAATGTCATTTCCAAGAAAAAATTTGCTTTGAAGATAATAAGGAAGTTATCAAAATTGTGTTCTTAAAAATATTGACGTCGGATGTTTGCAAAAAGTTTGTTTTCTTGGTACATGTAACAATATTCAGTTTTTCGGCTCTTCTGTAAAATTGTAAAAGCTGCATCTCTCTCCCTTGCCCCTTTTTTAAACTCCCAGTGGAGCATAGGCCATCAACAACATTTCTCTAGCGAAGCCTGTCTTGTGCATCTTTTCTGTTACAAAAAAAACAAACAAAAAACTTGCATATACTGTACTGTTTAAAATGACGGCAGTACACCAGATACCCTTCAACAACTTTCAAGAACCATACCCCCTCCCCTTCTGGTAAATCCTTCCAAGTTGTCTGAGGTTGAGCTTTGCGGTTTACCGAGTCAACACTAAGATGTTGAGGAAACATTACAATACTATAGCGATAAAGGGGGCATTGGTAGAGCGGTTAGTGAGCTCGTCTCTGAATCGGAAAGTCCGGGTTCGAGCGGACACAGATTTTTTTCGCCCCCTCCTGCCCACCCAGCAGTAATAGGTACCTGACTTCGAGTTGGGGAAGTAAAGGTGGTGTGGAAAGGAACTGGCCACCCTACTACAATATGCCGAAGACCCAGGAAGTTGTCTCACTAACAAGGCAATCCCCAATGTCCGGATCGGATGCGGGAACAACTTTACTATAGCAATAGTCATGAAGCAGGAGAGGGAGTCCCAAACCAGGGTACCTCTCTGCAATCAACAAGATTGACCAATACAATCTTGTGGGTAAAATAAAACTAAACTAAAAAAGCGAAATAATACCTTTTATCCTACACTTCACTAAATTGACCCCTGGTGGCAAGTAATACTGCCCGAGCGCCCAACCCCCCGTGAACGAAACCACATCGAATTTTGGGACGTTTAAAGCCTATATATATATCTATCAGCCACTTAAAACAGCTGTACAGCATTTACTTCATCTCAGGTCCTGCCAAAATGTCTGTACCCATGAGGAGAATGTGAGTGTCAAGTTTATTAAAAATGTATGATTTTATCCACACAAAAAAAAGGTCATGGTAGCCTCAGGAGACCAGGGCTCCAAAGATTAACATAATTAGACTATTTTGTATCATTTGTAAATGCACAATGTTAACACCCCCCCCCCCCAGGCAGTGCCACTGACTGAAGTGTCTTTAGGCCATTCACAAAGGGGGGATATTAACATGTTCTTATGCACAGTAAAATAGCAAAGGCTGAGTTATAAATGAATTCAATGTCATGCTCATACTGTTCCAGAACAACATAGGGGGTTCTGCTGCTTTTTCTTTCCTCATCCTTACTATTGTCATTTTCCTCTACTTCTTTCGTATGCTTGTTACTCTCTTGTGAACTGCTGTTTCTGGGGTGCCTGATAGTTGAAGCAGACTTTGTGCTGTTGAGGCAAGAGAGGTGAGCAGAGTAAGCCTGATTCTCCATTTGGACTTCTCTATTGACATCCACCCCTTGGCGCTCATATGGCCTTATGCAGTTGCGAGCGCCGTAAAACCTTACTTAAACAAACGACGTTAACCAAAAACACAAAACATTTTGAGTTTCAGGGTTTTTTAAATCATTGTGTCCATTTTATTGTGCCACAAAACAAGCGTTTGAAACACAAATGCCTTAATAACTACCACACACAAAAAAAAAAAAGGCAATTAAAATAACAAAACTGCCAATCACATAAACCTATGAGCAGTACACTTCTTATGACAAAGCTTGAAGACAATGTACATCAAGAACATTAGATCAAGTATTCCTAGCAAAGCACACAAGATAGAAAAGGCAGAGAAAGAGAAGCATGGAGTAGTTCTCCACAACCTGTCAAATTCATTAGTTAAAGTAGGCTGAGATGTTTGGAACCCCTAATAATAAGTTTTGCAGCCCAATCAATCATAGGAAAGAAAGAGCTGGTCCCATATCCATGTGTTATTCTGTACAACAAGACTAAAAAATAGTAATAGTGCAATATGAATTGTGTGTAATCTCTCACAGAAAACAGGTGGACAAAGCAGGACTGAAAAATCCACATGTAAACAGCCTTTCAAGCATGCAGAAGTCTATCAATCTTTATATGAGTAACCTAATTTACTGTTTTATAAGGATATATTGGTTCAGAAAGAAATAAAATTGCACAAATATAATCCAGTGGGTCAAAGCAATAAATGAATATCGCTGTGAGGAAAGACGTTAATGGCATCATACATAATCCATTAAATACGGCTGGGGAATAGTAAAGCAATAAAAATACAAATATAGTATCGTCTTTTACGTAAGAAGAAAACAAAATGACAAATTGTTGAAAGGTGTCACAAGAGGAGAGAGAAAAAAAAAACACTACGAAATTTACAAGGAAAATAAATTATCATACAAGGTAACAGTTTATACATCCTCTATCCATACGATAATTACAAGTCAGTAAAAGCTTGAGAGTGTCAGTCCTAAAAAGTTATAGTTACACATACTTTCATCTTGACATGTAAGTTTCTGAATTTAAAAACAAAAGTTTTTAACCGGTAATACAACCACTTAACCAACATTAATTGCATGTCAGAACAAATTTCCAAGCACACAGTAAAAGCAGTACTCTGAATAACATCGACTCATTTTGGAATCTGCGCACAGATAACATTTTTGTGACAAACAAATTTGACTTTACATGGGTAAATTAGGTGAACATTGTAGTGACTGACTTGCATACAAAGGCAGAGCTAGTAAGCTAGCTGTAGAATTGTTCAGTATTATTTTCTTTACAATAAAATCCTCACCAGTAAGGACACAAAAGCACCTGGCATTTACTATACTCAAATCTATCACACAAGGAGTCATCACAAAAGAATACAGGAAACAGCGAGTAATGACAGACCAAAAAATCCTTCTCAACTGAACTGAGAATGTTTAAATATATCCTATGCAACATCCTTTATGAAACCAAAAACTCTGGGGGGAAATGACGACATACAAAATATAAAATTGTCAATGTCTGCTACAACTGCAGATAGGTCACATAGAAATGCTTTCCATATACACAAGAGCAATATTGTCTGCTTCCCCTATAAAAGCTTCCCTTTACTTGGGCTGAGCGAAATGATCGAAACAATGTCCTTATTTTATTTGAGAAATTTGCTCCAGTCTTTGACATGACACATATCAGCACCAAGTTTTGTGAAAGAAAAAGCAAGAGGGAAGACCAACAAACTCGCATAATAATTCACAAGAGGCGATGACTAACCCACACATGAAGCCTCTGCCAACTTTCAAAGACTACAATAAAAGTACAATGAGAACAGCTGAAAAATTTGGAATACATGACGAATGAGACAGAAAACAATAATCTATGAACACTGTTATTAGAAGACACTACATCATACAGTATTGCTATAGATTTGTTTGTCAGCAAAAGAATGTTAGACAAGATTCAATGAGTAGTCTAGGTCATGAACGTCTAATCTAAAAGTAAAAAAAAGGGGGAAAACAAAGGCTGATATGTCTATGGAAAAAACAAAATAAAACCCCAGAGTTGCTAGTCTGTCATAATGACATATTGCACTTCAAAGCCACAGGAAATACAAAAACCATCAGAGATAACCTAGAATGAAATTTACAACGACCCCAACAAGGGCAACTCTGAAACAAAAGAATATCACTAATAATCTCTGAAATCCATGGCAAGCAACTGCTCCGTGCATTTCTAAGTTCAAGGCAGGACCTGCCAATGTCTGGTGAAAAGCAACATGAGAACTACCACAAAAGATTATCTTTTTAGGGAAGGAAGTGGAATGGGAAGAGGCGGGGTATACGGAGGATGAGGAGAAAAAGAGAAGGGAAGGAAGGGGACAACCCATGACAAGAACTAGGAAATAGGAATATGCAAACACATACATGATGCTCATTTTTTATCACATGTAAACATTAGGATTTCTGATCAGCAAAAGAGGAAGCATCAAGCACATTCCTTTTGCCTCTTTATTAAAAGGATAACTTTTTAAAATCTACCTGCAACAAACATAACTAAAATGGAATGTCCATCAATGGCACTGTACCAGAAGTTTCCCACAAGAGGATACAGTAAAAGTGATGAGAGAACAGACAGGGAGGCAAAGAGGCACAAGTCAGTCCTGGTACGGTTTCTCTCCATATTCTTGCTAAAGTAACAGTTGCTGTTCACCAGGCATGGACAGAATCTCCTTTGAAATAAAGCTCACAGAACAAAAAAGCTCTTTAAAGATCACAAACGAATTGTGGCATATTGTGTTTGTAAAAAAAAAACCATAACACCTGCCACACTTCACAGCATACAAAAGTACACCATTACATTCCCCTTTGCTATCCAAGAGAAAAACAAATAGCTACAAAATGTGAACATCATGCAAACTGACACACACATGAATGTGTTAACCTAATCCTCCAAATTTGCACTGATCTGTAAACCTTCATACTGGCACTGATCAGCCCCCAAAGTCCCCAACACAAACAGGAAACCACAGTTCTTCTTATGATCTTCACAACAACAACTGAGAACATTCAAAAAACAAAATCACATTTTGCGATTTTTGTTCTGTTTCCAGAAATAATTGTCTAGACTCTAGTGTTTTGGAAACTGTCAGAAAGATTAAATATCACAACATTATGAACGACAAAATCAGACAGGTACACAGGAATGTGTAGATTTGCATGATGCTCCCAGCTGTAAAACTGCTACTAGAAAGAAAAAAAAATCACATAGAAGCAAAGTTGTGGCTGTAAAATTCCAGTGTACCATTCTAACTTAAAAGAGAAAAAAAAAAATCCCTGGGAATGCAGATACACAGGAGGGTTGTTTCTTTTTAATAAAGAAAAAAGTAAAACAATGTATCCACTCATTAACAAAATATTAGCTTCAAGCATGCTCAGGAAAGTCTATGAAAAACATTGGACGCTGGTATTATGAGCAAGTGATATCATGAAATGTAGAATGGAGACACTAGCCATAAGCGGAATGCTAGGTGAGGAAACCGGCCTAGAGTAGATGACCGCTGATGGATGGTTACTGTAGTCTTGTGTAGAACCATGAAGAAGACGCTCCTCCACTTGTGTCTATATGAGAGATGAGGGGGAAAAAAGTAAGTCATAAGTGAGTACTTACACTTAAGTTTTTAAAATTTCTGATACCTCACTAGAAAGAAAGAACAAAAATCACCAAACTTTCATATGAAATCGTAGTACACAAACTTTTACATTCCAAACAGTCGCATATATATAAACCACAAATAATAATAATAATAATGATAAATAGCTTTTGTATAGCGCATATCCCCGCTCAACAGCAGGCTCTATGTGCTTTATACTACATTACCCCAACAGACCATAGAACACTCCAAAACATTCTCAGCTTCCCGGGAAGCATACAGTGCAAGCAGCTGATTAAGCGCTCAAACACTAACAAACTGACAAGAACTTTCACTGTCTATAGCCGGGTACCCATTCCCATCTGGGTGAAGTGAGGAAAATTAGTGTAAAGTGCCTTTCCCAAGGACCCAACGTCGGGTCCCTGACAGGATTCGAACCCACGACCTTACGGTTGCGAGTCCGAGAGCCTAACCACTAGGCCACCGGCGCCACCAAATGGAATCATATAACAACTGCACATAAAACATGATGGATTCATACTGTAAGAATTACAGATAAGCATTTCATCATGAATAGCTATTTACCACAGAAATCCACACAGATTAATCAGGAATTACTTACAATTTTAAATTATTTTTCTTGCTCCAACAGACCACAATATATCAATAAATAGAGCCCAGCACAAAAAGTATTAAGTCTACCCTTGTAGGCAACTGGAGAACAGTTTACAGTCCCTTTGTCATGAATGACTGATTGTTAGGACTGCAGACACATCAATCAAGCAACATGTCAAAAAAATGTACAACCCATGACAGGTTACCAATTCATCAGATATTCATTTTCTAACATATATAAGAACTTAATCCTTTCTCACGATAACATAGCCAGATCTGAATCCTACTGCCATCAGAACTGAGACCCTTTTGCGAACATGTAGGAAACTGAGTAAGCACAATCATGGTTTCAATTTGCTACAATGAGCAGGTTCAAGCAGAGGCAGCTAAACGTACCTTTTATGCAAAATCTTTGACAGCTGCTGGTCCGTTGGCTGGGATGGCTGTACCACCTCCTCGGATGCCTGTGCTTTGGGCAGGAGGGCCACCTGGGTGCTGGCCGGGCCGGATGGGTTTGGCTGTGAGAAACAGGACAAGTAGTTTTTTAGTAAGAGTTTTGCAGCACTTGCGACACAATAAGGTCAAGTAAGAGCCAAAGACTAGAGGTGTTACTAGAGTGTAACATACAAACAAGAGAAGGAGTGATTATAACGATGACAGATGTGTAACAGGGAAGAAGGAGTAAACTACACAAGAGCACCCACTAATCACCCGCAGACACAGGACAAAAAAAATAGGCTGTTACAATAGTATAGGGAAGGTGTTGTCCTTTAAGTGTGAGTTAAGAGAAACACATCAACACAGTAATGGTCATTTAGTTAAGGGAAAAAGAAAGATGAACAAAGAGAAATAAAAGGGGGAAAGAAAAGATGAAGAACCCACCAACCACATACTTTAAATGTAAAAATTTTTTAGTTGAGGTTTTACGGCGTTCGCAACTGCATAAGGTCATATGAGCGCCCAGGGGTGGTTGCCAATAGAGAAGTTTTTACAGGGAATCGGGCTTACTCTGCTCACCTCTCTAGCTTCAACAGCACAAAGTCTATTTCGACTTTCAAGGAACCCCGGAAATAGCAGGTCACAAGAGGGTGACAAACATACAACAGAAGTAGAGGAAAATGACGATAGTAAGGATTAGGAAAGAAAAAGCAGCAGTTCCCTGTTGTAGGTCAGACACAGTTATGAGCATGACATAGTTTAATCAGCCTATTTACAATTCTACTGTGCATAAGAACGAGAAATGTCCCCCCTTTGGGAATGGCCTAAAGACACTTCAGTCAGTGGCACTGTCCCGGAAGGGCAACCACATACTACCGTTGCCCTTTGATTCTTTTAAACTGTTAACACTAGCTGACCAGGTGTATGTGTCAAACAATACTTATCTGAATAAACACTTTGACATATTTCAAGTTTAAGTTTTAATAAGAATTTTACGGCACTGACAACACAATAAGTCATACAAGTTCCAAAGACTTTCTAATAGTGAAATGGTATAGGTTTTATGCTCCTGTCAACACTGTTAGGTTTTTTAAGAGGTGGAACCTCCGAGTTTTTGTTTTCGTTTTAGTACAGGTTTTACGGCGCTCGCTACTGCCTAAGGGCATATGAGCGCCAAAAGATTAGAGGTGTTACAAGAGAGTAACAAAAAGAAGGGGGACATAAGGACGATAGATGTTAGATAGGAAAGAAGAAAAAACCACACCAGAGCACCCGCCAACCACCCAAACCTCCGAGTTTAAAGTCAATCTCTGAAAAGACGGAGCCAAATAGAAAATTTGTGTAAAGTGTCTTTAATAAGAACACAACACTGGACCAAGCAGACGATTAAACCCCCCGAATCCACAATCTCATGATTACATGTACATTAGGCTAACCATTACGCCACCCAAGGATTAACGGTGTTGCAAGAGAGTAACAAACACAAAAAAAGGAGAGAAAAGGACAGAAAATGTTTGATAGGAAGTAAGAGCAAACCCCACAAGAGCAACCACCAACAATCCACTTTTCTTATTGTCATGCCAGTTATTTTCCTTTTTGAGGAGGTCTAAGAACTTAAATGTAACTGAGGACACCAGGACAGATAGGTCCAAGGGGCTCACCAATCTGGGGGGCGTGTCCTCTACGAGCCAGATTTCTCTGCCTGACAGCTTCCTTGATTCTGTCAACCTCCATCTGGTACCTGCACATAGAAGAAGTAAAAAGGAAAAAAAAAAAAAAGTTAAGAGGAGAAGAAGACAACATTTTTCCAACAAGAAAAATTTCCTTTAAAATAGACTATATCCCCATGAAACTACCTTTTAAAATTAGAATTTTGTTAAATCTTTTTCAAAATACAGATCTGACCCCCCACAAAAAGAACTGAAACAAATCTTATAATACAACTAACAGAAATGCAAGAAAGAAGTGACTATAGATCAAAGTAAATGCAGCATTTACCCTCTAGAGACACTAAATCAATCAACTCAACTCTCTCCACCACCACATGAAAATGACATAAAAATAAAATAAATCAGTAGTCTCATTTACTAAGGCAATAATCACACAGAGAAATAATAATATTTCTAATAAGGCAATGCTATTAAACTAAAAAAAACAATTACAGTTTAAACCTCAAGGTAAAACTTTATTGGACGGGAGATAAGTCCACAGGGGACACCTCTGACAAAAAGAAAAATAGGACAAGTGCCAATGACAAAACAACCCTAGCCATCATCAAATCAAGAGGGTGTGGAGAATAATATGGTACAGGACAGACAGAGCATTATCTCAGCTTTATACTTTGGTTCTGAGAAAAAGGTGTACCTTACAAAGAAGAGTCTAGCATCTACAACAAAACAGGAGTGAGAAAACAATAACTTATGGAGGAAAATCATAAAAGCTAACCTTTGGTGTTCCCTGTTCTCATGCACTTCTACTCTTAACATTCCAAATTCACTGGTAAGAAATAAGGAATAATTTTTTTTAGGCAAAAAAATAGCAACCAGCTATTCACAATTCTGAAAACACACACATTCTTTACAAGAAGTGGTGAGTTAGGTGAAACATGATCTGTAGGACTAGAAAAAATGTGTGGCAACATACATTTATTTTCAAACAGCACCCCCATCCCCTATCCCACCCAATCCCCCAATTCAAACAGCACAGAAATCTAGCAGGTTCTTTTCCTTCTACAAACAAGAATATAGCGAATACAGATAAATCTCTGTGGGTCTGAACAAAAGAGATACGTCAGCCTGAACTGTACAGATTAGAAGACAAAGGAATCCCATTCCAAACTAGACGATTTGTCAGACTTTCCAAAGAACCCAATGATAAAATGTGCGACGAAAGTTCTTCCAGCTTTTCTATTAATATATAAACCCTACACACCAGTGTATTCAAAAGAAAGACAGAAAATGGATTCCAAAAATCAAATTCAATAAGTAAATAATAAATGAATGAATGAATGGGGGGAAAAAAATGAACATGGAAAATATCTTAAAAAAGAGCTGCCAAACAAGTAACAAAACCTATGAAAACCGAGCCCATAGAGTTAGATGTATATCTTTTCTATGGAACACTCAAATGTGTCTTCTACCCCACTGACAAGATTGAATCATATTCTTACATCATAAAATAATTCCACAAAACTGAGGAACTTCTGCATTCTACGTCATCCAGCACAAAAGACAAAAATACTGCACATATATTAAGTTCAATTAAGCCTACATATCCTTTTCTAGAAAATATATTTTCCCATTATAATATTTTCCACACATGAATCTTTACTCATGGGAAAGATAATTCACTGTCCCAAATGTTGTCATATATTTCACATTAACCCTAATTATCAATTAACAAAACCCTGCATTACATTTTTTTCAAAAACAAACCTACAAGCTTTCCATATATGTGTTTAAGCTAACCATTCAACTTCTTCTTATAAATGGAATTTATATTCTATTCTTTGGGTTGTTGTTGTTGTTGTTTTCAAATCCTTTTAGCTGCGAGCATTTCGCTCTTGGCAGCGCAATGCCTCCCTCAAGTAACAACATGTCCTTGTAATTCTCTGGGTAACTTGGATAGAGTTTCAGCAGTGGCTCCTCAGCTTTTAGTTCCCTGACCGTAACCCGTTTATTTCTACAGAGTTAATAAGGGAATAGGGTTAAATTCTGGCTAGAACTACAAGAAAGAAAAAGATGAATTAACTACAAAAAGAGAGAAAAAAAGACAAAAAGTACAAAACATGTGAAAATCTTGAAGAGACTAGTTGCCATATCCACATTCAATCTTTGCAGAGTTACCAGAAGGTGTCTTTCGAGAACACCATAGATCCAACAGACTTTGGACCTTTTTTCTACTCTTTAGCTTTACCCCGCAATAATAAATAGGAACAAAATAAAACTTAAAACCCTTTCTCTGATGCCACAAAAAAAACTAACTGTGACAAGCATGACACTAATAAAACTTTGCACCATTGACTATGATGTCAAGCTTATTTTTGACAACCAATACACAAATCACAGACTGATATAGTGTTCTGTCCATCCTGCCAAATGAAAAGCTATTATCCTGTTCTCTTTGATGAACATACCTTAATTCAAAGAAACAATGCACAACCATTATCATATTACCACATTCATGCAAATACAACAGCACTTATCAATTTTTTCAAATCAGAACTCAAAAAAGGAAAGCTGTCACAGAAAGTCTCTTTGCTTCTGCAATTCCAAATTGTGTTGAGCCTCAAACTCTCCTATGTTTAAGATCATGTTGAATACATACATCCTCAAAATCTCAATTCAGAGAGTGGAAAACTATTTCTTTACCAGTCTCAAATGAGATCAGCAGAAATCAAACTTTCAAACAAGGAAAGTCTGTAGCAGAGTGTGCAACTAAGTCCATCAAGTTCATTCACAGAAGGAGAAAACTGTACAAATAAGATATCAGGACCTCAAAGACGTACTGATAAACCAACACAAGGAAATCTAAAGGATTGTTTAAGGCCTTACAAAAGCATAACAGTAAAGCACAAAAAAATAATTGTAACGCAAAACACACTCTTCCATTCCACACATACATAAAGAAAAGAATGCAAGAAATTTTTAAAATAAAACATGAGCCAAACTAATTTTTGTTTGTTTGTATGGCGATCAAATCTTCGTGTGTACCTAGAAGGCTATATGCTTCATTTGAAATAAAGGAACACCGAAGGTTTTGGTATTTCTCCTGAACACACTAGGGCTGAAAACGGACAACTTCACTCGCATTTCCTTTCCATTCCACACAGAAATGAATTTCTTTGCACAAGTTTGGTTCAACAATGCAGACTCCAGGTATCATAACAAAAGCCAGTCACATGTTCACAGCAAATTTAAAGCAACAGGGGTTCAGCACTGAAGGGCACGAGTTAAGCAGAACTAAGGGGAAAGATGGCAAAATAACACAGCGCTCGCAATGGGGGGAAAGCGGACACCATACAGCAGGATATTTGAATGCAAATAAAGAAGAGATTTTATTATGTCTTTTCACCCACTTAAAGTCTTGACCAAAATAAACAAAAACAGTAGAATAATTCCAATTTAAAAATTAAACTGATGAAGTATCACAATGGGAGCAGAGCTTGAAACCACTCTGCTTCTTTTTCCAGAATTCTTCTAGAACAGCAACAACAAAAATAGTCCAAACCTATGTAAAAAATATTTACACCTAACTCACACCCGTTCCACTGCCCAAAACCTCACACAGGAGGCAACATTACAGTGGAACAAAGGGAAGAGAAAAAAATCTACATGACTAAAAGAGTGGCTAAAACTTCTATTAATCACCACAAATACAGAGGATTAGAAACTAAAGCCCAAGACTTGCCCTGACTAAGAACTAGGTGTAAAAAGAAAATATTAGTGGATATAAAGAAGCAAATGCCAATCTTTAAGAAACCAAAGAAAAGTGTTCATTGCTCTCTCTTTTTGTACCATTTGCCAGATTTACAAAAATATAAGCACTTAGGTCACAATACTGCTGATCTTCTTTGAAATGGCTGGCAAGGATCTACTTACTTTCCCTCATTATGAACGCTGTTAGATGAAAATAAAAACAGGGGGAAGGAAGAGCTTTTGTCATCTAGTTTGCAAAAGAAAAGGTTTAGAATTAAAAGGACTTCTTTTTGTAAGTGGAATTAACAGAAGAAACAATAAGGAGATGATGAGGATGAAACAAAAAGAAAATTACTAAAGCAGTAAAAGTTAGTTATAGCCATGTTACATTATGAATGGCATGTTACCGTATCAAAACTACATTCATAACTTGAAAAATGCAACATCGGTATAAAAAAAAGAAAAAGAATAAACCAAAATACCACTAGAGTTTTTAAAAATAAGTAGGGTGGGTTGACATGTATTTCCCATAATAATGGGAAAAACTGAACTTCTTTTTACCCTCTAAGTCTACATCCTGCAAAACTTAAACCATGCACAGAAGGACAACAAGCAAAAGCATCTGTGACCAAACACACACTGAGAGGCGCTACACCTTTCAATCTGCACCTACTCCAGACACAAAGTCACTGAAAACAGCAGTTGGTAGAACAAATACGCATAATTCACAACAATATTTAAAGAGGAAGTCGCACCGTTAAACAGCTCTATAACATTGCTTCTTATATATACAAAGATTGCTAAAAAAAATTATTATTCGATCAAGTATAAAAACATGTTTCAAAAATGAGAATTATTTTCTTTGTGCTCTTAGCTTACAAGGCTTCAAAGTGCTCACATGGTTTTTTGACTTGCAAGACTTCCTCAAACAAAATCACATAGCTGTTGAATTGAACCAAGTCCAATTTTACAGTGATACATAGTCAAATTTTCAATATTTTAAAATATTTAATTCCGAGACTTAAATCATTTAAATCATAAGACCAAGCCCTTGAAAACATAAAAAGTCTGTCTTACGGTGCAACAAGTCCTTTATGGGCAAATTCACAAAGGTAGAACAGAAGAAAATGAAAGGAACCCCCAAACCAGTAGGTTCTTTTTCATTTAATTCTTACCAAAAAAAGGAGAACATAACACCCATAATTTGCCTTCTTTTGAGCTGGCAACAAGGAGAGCGAAAGTCTTAGTCAACAAACAAATCACAGAAAGGAAAATTCTCCAGTAAAAGCTTGAAATTTTTAACCCTTCACTGACCTCTTTCTATCCCTCATGGCTCCTTCCTTTGCTTCTTTCAGTGCAGTCTCTAGAGACTTCACACGGTCCATGGTGGCTCTCAGTCTCTTCTCCAATTTTGGAAGCTCACAACGGAGATCAGCATTGTCGCGTACAAGCTGGGAATATTTCACACACATACTCATAAACTTTCATAATACACTCAAACGTCTGCACAATTGACTTCAACAAGTCATCAAATACCTTTCATTATTCCACTACGTCTGTTTTCCTAGAGTAGAACTAAATCTGAGAAAAGAACAAGCTGAAAATAAATAATCAAATCTAAAATCAACAGGAATTTACTGCGTTCTCCCTTTGCCTGCCATCTAAGCTTAGATCCCTTTACTTCTTGTCATGAAGGACTGAGCTGCAGTTAGCGAGGAATTTGCATAGAAACCAATGTCAAAGAACATTAATAAAACAAAATGTCCCTATTCATTAATACAAATAATATGTACAGCTATTTACTCAAAATGTGGAGCTAAAACGATTTTCCTGAGACAAAGATTTATAACAGTGAGAAACATACAGACCTGCTTATGTACTTTAGTCAGCTGCTCAAGGTTATTTTCCAAGAAGGAGATCTTCTGCTTCTGGGCCACATTACCCCCAGCTTCTTCATCTTCCTCCTCCTCTTTCTTGTTAGCAGCCTGCAATAACAGCAGAGTATGTCAATAAATATTAGCACACCTGAGAAATGGCTGCTCCACCACTAAAGACATTGGACAAGCTTTTCATTTTCAATTCAAAGACCAGAACAGGGTATGAAAATGAATGAAACTAAAATGAAAAAGAAAAAAAAATTAAATTGAAACAGCTTTCCCTCTACTCAACTTTGAAGAGATTGTACCATAAGATGGCTCACAATCAGACTTACTACAGAAAAAACACAGTAATTTTCCATGCATTCCTCAAAAATAAAATGAGAAGAGCAGTCATATTATGTAACAAACATGTTCATACCTAAAAATATGCTGGTGGAAATTCCAAAGCCATATAAGTAAAATGTATCAAAATGAGTTGAAGAAGTGGGTATAAACAAAACCCTAATTAACAGTTCAAAAAACCACCCAAAAAAAATTTTTTTTTTAAATGGGACAAAAAAAGTTCCCTTGTTCTATTCAGCAACTGAATGATTCAACTGTTATTTTTCGATCCCATGTAAAATAAACTGTTCAAAAGTGTACATTTGCATTCATCACCATCAATTTAAGGCTGTTTCTCTTTCAGAGCATTAAATCCCTGGCCACTCACTATCTTTAAAAAAAAAAAAAAAAACCCACAGAATTTCATGGGAAACTTCCACATAAATATCAATACAGGTTTCTGTTTTGGGGCCTTACCTGTGCAACCAACGAAGGTAGAACACCAATATTCCAACTCTCCTTCACATAACTGCCTTCATGGCAAGCAACCAGTACAAAAAAACCTTCCCCATTGAACCAAGAGCACAAAGAAAACAGTTTTCACTTCTAAAACATGTTTTTATACTTAATCGAATCATAATTTTGCCCAGTCTCTTTGTATATAAGAATCAATGTTATAGAGCTGTTTAACGGTGCAACTTCCTCTTTAAACATAGTCACCATAAGTGGCCACCCACCTTTTTGACCCTGTTCTGCAGGTCCTGTACAAAAAGTTTCCTGAGGTTGTGCAGAGTCTGCAGCTCCTTGGCCACCGTCTCCTCCAGGCCCTTCAGGTCCTCCTTGGCCTGCTCACGCTTGTCCATCTGCAGGGTCAGCTCAGACAGCTTGTTGGCCTTCTCCGCCTCCTCAGACTTGAGCTTCTCATAGTCTGTCTGCATCTTGTCCAGAGCAAGTGTCAGCTTCTGGTTGGTTCTGGAACACAAGGAAAATTACAGGCTTTTGAACGTTTGCACACAGTCAGCGTGATAGCCTAGACATTCCACCTGGTACAGAATCGTAGGAGCACTAAAAAAACAATCTTGTTGAGAAGCAATATAAAGCTAACAAGCAAGGTGACACCAACTTCAGAGGGAATAGACTTGAAAAATTATAACTTCCAAAAGAATGAACAAGTTACAAAATCCACAATACTAAATATTCAAAAGAGAAAATTGCTGATAAATAATGATTACAAATGAGAACAAAATCATGCCATGTTAACAACTGTACAATAATTAAGAATCGAAACAAGATCTAATATCAAATAAAAATTATTCGCACACGATATAATACTAATAGATAACATTTGTATAGCGCAAATCCCTGCTCAACAGCAAGCTTTATACACTTCACAATCTATACTATTACCCAGCAGACCTGAGAGCATTCTGATACAGCCTCAACTTCCTTGGAAGCATACAGTGCAAGCAGCCATTTACATTCCCTAAAACAGTACCATACTGACAAGACTTTTCCCTGTCTATGGACGGGTACCCATTCCCACCTGGGTGAAGTGAGGAAAATTCATGTAAAGTGCCTTTCCCAAGGACACAACGTCGGGCCCGCAGCTCGAACAACTGTCACACTAAATGCCCTTTCAACATTGAAATGTGGCCTTTGCATTTGTATGTAGAACCATTAAACAACTAAATATGTGACAAACAAATCCATCTCAACTTCACAAAATGCTCATAATAGAGCATTCTCTTTAAGCTTTACAAACCCAATGAAAGCACAGAAAAAAAAAGTAAAAAGAAACTTACTCTTTCAGTTCATCAATGAGAGTCTGTTTATCTGAGATTTCTTCCCTCAGGTTCGACAGCTGTTTCTGGTGTTGGTCTCTGTGGCTCTGCATCTGTTTCTCCAGAGCTTCCTTCATCTGGATCTCAGACTGGAGCTTATCAGAGGTCTCCTGGGCTTTCTGTGTCACTGTAGCATGCATAGTTTCTGGGGGAGGAAACAGAATCATAAGACTTGTATCCAGGCTTTAATTTGTGGGAAATTGCTGGCATGATAAAAATCTTTCTTTCCACTAATTACCACCATTATTCAGTATCAAATGGAAAAAATGAACATTAGAGGATTTATCATTTTTACCATTTACAAATGAATACTTCTACGACAAGTTTTCACACCATCCAGCTATTCTTAGTTCCTAATATGACCTTACTGCAGACGAGTCTGTAACTTTGAAAGCTTGACTGCTTGTGTGACCCAAGCAACATATTCCACTGAAACATACCTCTCGACAACTACATACTGACTGGTACAATTGCACCATAAAATTTGAGAAGACATTTCCAACAAAGAGTAATACTTTCATACTGGGTAATATGATTAATTTGTTGAGAAAGTTTCTATTAAAGTGATGAATACTATAGCAAGCTATGCAAGAACAACAAATTACAGCAAAAACTGCTCGAAAACCAAAAAAAAAAGAATTACAGAAAGCTATTTGCATTTTTCTTTTTCTGCCTGTGGATTAGTTGCTGATGGCAGCTTTATGGTGACACCACTCTTCCTACTTCTGTACAATGATACTGTTGGCCTCTTTTGATTCTGGCAAAAATGTAGTTATCATTATGCCAACCCGGTATGAATAACCACTCAACCTCAACTGTAAGCTGGTTTGACAGTCTTCTTAGTTGTCCCAGCTCAATGATGTTACTGTAATGATTTTAAGTAGAAGAAAATAGAAGGAAGAGGAAAGCATAACCAAAATAAAAGCTCACCATTAGCCTTGAACCTAGCCACCTCCTCAGTGAGAGAATCAACATTTTCCTCCAACTTGCGCCGTTTGCTTTCCACATCCTTGATGGTTTCACTCAGAGTAGCCATCTTTGCTTCATACTGGAGAGGAAGAACAACAATGGTGATCAGAAACTTGAACAAAAAGAAAGGAAAGAACAAGAACACTACCAAAAAGAAGAACAGATGAATACTACAGCATTTAAAACATGCTTAGACAATCTACAGCATGCATGTGCTACACTGGAGTTAAATATACATATTCAAGGGGTTCACAGCAGCCATCAGCTTCGTACATTTTTCATATAAATAATTATATTCTTATCCATCAGAAATATACTCTCATTCTGAGCAATTGATCGGGCCGACTCTAAAAGTGTGAGTATGACAGCGACATTTTTAAAGCCCATCACTCTCAAACGTAAAGAAAAGCATACTCAATATTTGAATAAACTATAAAACATTCAGGCAATAACAATCATGAACAGCTTTATGTTACTGGTATGTCCAACAAAAACGGTTATTCACATTGACTTTAGACGATCCGATTACAAATAGATTTTAAAATGGGGAGTATTACACAGAATATGTCTTCACGTTAAAACAAACTCCTCACCTGTTGGATCTTGAGCTGGCAATCAGACAGCTCAGTATTAGCATCTTCCAGCTTCTTGTTGTTTTCAGACTGGTTAGTCTCCAGGTTGGCAGCGCGGGTGGCCAGTGTTTTCACCTCAGATTTCATCTTGCTGATGTAGAGGCGAGCCACAGTGAACTCCTCCTCAAGCTTCTCACTAGCACCACTGTTTGGCTACAAACAACAACATTCAAAAATTGTTGGAAATGCAAACAATCATATACAAAATTAGTTTTTAAAAAGTAAAAAATGAGACTTATCCACAAAAAAACTTTTTTCCCCATTTTATCAGCAAGATAACATACTATTTACTGCTCAGAAAAGGCAAGATCAAAATACAGAAAAAAGAGAGAGAATAAGACAAGTAGGATACATTACTGGCATCCTCCCTCTACCCCCTGATGGTGTGATTTATATTTACTAATGACAGTAACATGACAGCCCTATTTCTCTGAGATGAGCAGCAACAATAGTAAGAATCGTTTTTGTGTTGTTGTTTTTTTTATAGAAGAAGTTGACCACAACACAAACCATCAAATCACAAAACAGAACAGACAAGAATCTACATCAGATAGAAAATAGGGAAGACTACTGATCTGGGTATATCAACACATGAAGATATAGGTGATCCTTTATAACCAGTCTGCTACTGGTCTTCCAGCCTCTGCATTTCTGTTATTCACCTTATTTTCAGCAGCATTGCCTCCAATGACACTTCCAATGTCACCGAGGTCTTTGAGTAAACTTGACATCATTTCCACAACTCTCTTCTTCTGGTGCGTGGATGTATCCCGCAGTGAGTCCAGCTCTGTCTGAATGGTGTTGATCTTGACCTACACGAGAGGAAAGAAACACAACCCTTCTATGTCACATGTGGACTTCACGAAAACCTACATAAAGTCAACTCTAGTATTGGCAACAACACTGTTACAAAATAGGTCTAATGCTTAATGTGCTCATATGACATTATGCAGTTGTAAGAGCCTTAAAACACTTACAAAAGAAGAAAAACAAACAAAAAAGGATTATTTTCCCACAGAGCAGTGGGATGAGCACCAGAACACATCAATACTACTGAAAAGGGAACAAATATTTTCAAAATCTACCAGCAGCACCATTATGTAACCACAGATTAAAAGAAAATCATCAAAGACCATCATTTACTAAGAGCGCAAATGAACAGATGGTCAGATACCCAAAAGAATGTATTGTAATCCTGGTTAAGCCGAGATCAAGGGCAAGCAAAATGAGAAAGGAAAATTTATAACTTTACAAAAGTGCAAAAACAAAAAGCATAGAGCAGAGTACAAAGAAGAGCTATGGTAACAGTCTAACGTCCACATCATGAACTTAGAATGTTGTGGTATGTTGTGGCATTGGTAATCTAGTGATTAGGCTCTAAAACCCTCCACTGTAAGGTTATGGGTTCAAATCCTGTCATGGCCCGGCGTTGTGTCCTTGGAAAAGCCACTGTACACAAATTTTCCTCACTTCACTCACATGGGAATGGACACCGGCTACAGATGGCAAAAGATCTTGTCAGTTTGTAAGTGTTAGAGCACTTAATTGGCTGCTTCTACTGAATGCTTACTGGGAAGCCAAAAATGTACCTGAGTGTTATTGGGTCTCCTGGGATAATGATAATTGTAAAATGCATGAAGCATGCTGTAGAGCATAGATATGTACTATATAAAAGAAATTATTACCTACTCTTTTAAATAATTTACTGCCCTAGTTCCTCAGCTAAATGCGATATTTAATATCTGACTGGAACAAAAGGTAAAGTGTGATAACCACAAAAAAATCATCATCTTCCAAACCGTAAATCAGACTTACAGTCTTCTGGCTGATCTCTTCGTTGAGAGCCTCGATGTCCCTGTTCTTGTTGTCCACCTCCTGGGATTTCTGGTCATAGTTCATGGCCAGCTCCTCCAGGGCCTGGAGCACTTCCTTCACCTCCTCCTTGGCAGATTCGTTGTCTGCCTGGATGCGACCCATCTCGGCCTGGGAGTTCTCGTAGTCACGGCGAGAGTTGGTGATCAGATCCTCTTGCTCCAGCATCTGTTCCTTCAGCTTCTCAATCAACTGACCTTGGTTGTTGATTTCATCATCCTTGATAAAAAATTTTAAAAAAACATACTGAGCAACAATCGTTCCCTGATAAATCAATGTGAATATGGACATCAGTTTTGTTAATTTTTTAGGACTGTTTCAACTTAAGTCTTCAGCACCAAATAAAATTGAATTAATTCCTCACAAAGTACAACGCTTCGGCTACCCTTGACAATCAATTCACTCTCATTTCACATTTTTCACATGCTCCCTTCCTCCCTATATTTCATTTCAGCAGGAAAAATACTTTTTTACCTTTGCAAACATTCAGTACTGGGATCATCAGAAAACCAAACCTTTTCCATGACAATTTTGTTTGCTACATTCACAGTATAACGAGCCTTTTATTACCTTATCATCCAGCTGCTGGTACAGTTTCATCTTCTCCTCCTCCATCTGAGCCTTTTCAGCCTCAGGGATGGCACTGACCCCACCACTGACCATGCCAATGAAACTGGACTGCATGGCAGTCTGGTTGGCCACCTGGCCTGTCTGACCCTGACTTGGAGGCTCTGACTCCATAGCTGCAGTTTTCACATCAACCTGCTCCTCCACGGGCACAGCTTTACCTGAAACATTCCAGAGGGAAAAAAATCACCGATCAGTTGGGGGGGGGGGGGAGATTTCATCCACCCAATGGAAACGAAGAATCAAAATCTAAAAAAAAAGAAACCCTCACCTCAGTAACAAAAATAGAAGAAAAAAAAGAAGACACCCACAAAAGGAAACATTTATTATGCCCATAACTGGCTCTATTATAAATATAGCATCACTCAAGATTTATACGCATTTCCAAAAAAGCATTCATTTACTAATGTTCCTGTCAAATACAAAGGAGGAGCCCTTTTAAAAATCAACATCTTTTTTTCCTCCAACAAAGAAGTCCAAGGGGGAAAAAACTTGAACACAGCCTCATTTTTTTAAAAACCTGACATAAAACTTAATGTTCATCAAATAGGCTATGTCTTCGTCAAATTCCTTAATAGTGAGGAGGAGGAAGAGGATGCATACTCCACTGCAAAAGAAAGTGTACTTACCATTTCTCCATGATTGCAGCTCAGCCTCCAGCTTGAGGATGATGAGTTTCATCTTGTTGTTCTTTTCCTTTTCCCTCTCATAGCGTCTCTTCCATTCCTCTGCTGTCAGCTCTTCATTCACAGTCACAACATTCTTGATCGTCTTGGCTCTGAAAGAACACATTTGACCAATCTCTCAAATAACTTTGAAAAATAAACAAAAACCACAGAGTACAAAAACACAAGTCTCAGTACACACCAGAAAAGCACAGAAATGCAAGGTAACACTAATTTCCCCACAACTAAGTCCACAATACAAAAAGTATTTAAAAACTTAACAGAATGCAAATGCATTGGTCTCTATTTAAGAACAGTCCACATAAGAACCGAGTCCACTTAAGAACCTGCTTTTACAATGTAACTGAATTTTTTTCTCTATAATTTGCATGCTTAAGAGCGTCAGTAACAATGTCCAAAAAATATCCTAAATAACAATGTCATTAAAATCCACTCTGAAGTCTTGTTCTCCCTTGCACCTAATAAACCTAAAAACTTAAAACACACACATATTATGTATCACGACGTGGTGGAATCAGGTGCTCGTCAATTTTTGGGCATATGGAGTTAATGTTATCATCTTAGAGCTTGTTCATTTGTTTTGGTTTTGATGATAAAAATTACCCATCTATCTACAATACAAATCAAGATTTTATGGATAGAAGGAGGTGGGGGTCGCCTGGTTTCAGAGGTAAAATTCGAGAGAACATGGATGCCAAAGTCTGGTTACTTCCAAAGTTTGACAGTCCTTGGAAACCGTAAATTTACATTTTTTGCGCCTTTAATCAACTTTTTCAGTAAGTCTTACAGCAATGTGTTTTTAAACTGACACAAAAGGTGTTGAACCAAAAAATACAAATTAAATAAAAATTGCCAAGTGAGAAGAAAAATACTGTTTTCTTTGATTTTGTTATTTTGCGGAGCACCTGATTTCACCATGATGTCTCACATATCATATTTCTATATTCTTTAAAAAGCAAACCTCTTTATCCTCCCTCGGGCATCAGAATTGACCATGAGCCACTATTTCATCATTGATGAAAAAAGAAAAATCAACATGTAAGAGCTGAGCCATGCCCCTTGAAATCTGCCTAAGAACACACTTTTTCTTTCTCCTATTGACTGGGCTCTTAGATAGAAACCAATGTACTTCTATTTCAAATACCAGCACCAAAATTTGCATCTCGTTTTCAAAACGACAAATCATTGAAAGTTACAAGTCAGTACACATTTTTCAATTTCAAAGCATTGACCAGTTTTGTAGCTTATATGAACTGATGTCAGATTATCTATTGTGAAAATATTTCTCATCATTCCACTGACCTTTGACCAAACATCAGTGTTGACTTGGTCTCGGTGTCATTGTACGAGGCAGGGGAGCAGCAGATGACCATGGTGGTTCTTGCGTTACCTCCTAAACTCTCCTGCAATATTCTGGTCAGTTTACTGTCTCTGTAGGGGACGTGGGATTTCTGAGGGAAAAAAATGACATTTACAAGTCAACTTTCTGACGAGGAACTATTCATAATATTCTCCACAAAGATATAGTCCAAAGGTAACATATTTTTATATGATTTCATACCAATCAATTTTTTTTTCGAATTTACCTTCCTCTTCTACAGGTATGATTTTGCAAATGATCAAAGAACCATATTTAACATATTTTTAAAAACTACAAAATTCTAGGGAAAGAACACAGAAGAAAAAACAGATTTTAAAATGTGCAAAATTGTAAACCATTACGAGGCATCTTTAAAAAATTGCTCTGTCATTAATTTCATAAGTTCCAATGATTATTCAGTAAAACATACAGTAATTAAGACCAAACTTACATTTCCATCTGCCAGGGCTGAAATGACATTGCCAAGAGCTGAAAGAGACTTGTTGATGTTCTTGGCCTCATCCAACACAGATCCTTCTGCTCCAGTTTTACTAACCTGTCAAAGCAACAAAGGAGAATTAGACACTCTGAATGATAAAAATGCATGGTATTGTAAGTGACAAATGAACACGACAAGACATTGAAACAACATCTATATACCAACTTTATGCCTACACATCTTTGTTTTAGTAAGTATTTTACGGCACTTGCAACACAACAAGGCCGTGTAAGTACTGAAGAATAGATGTGTTACAAGAGAGTAACATACACACAAAAAAAGGAGGAGAGATAAGGACGACAGATGTTTTGAGCCAACTGACAAACATCAAGAAAGTTTGTAACAAAATCGTTTACAAAAGATTAATTGATATTATACAAATTTTGCACCAAATGGTCTTAAAATGAAAGATAAACAGGAAGAATTCAGAAAACACGTTTCATTAAATTTCTGGCAAAAATAAAAAATCGACCTTACCTTTTCACTACCTGCCAAATCGACTAGATACAATTTTCCATGCAATTTCTTCTCATTTTCTACATTTTCCTGCTTTACATGGATGAGAAACACACTGTGACTTCTTGAGCTGTGCTCGTTCATGTCTGCAAAATAATAAGAAAAATAAGTCATTCACTCGGATATTTCTTATAATGCACAATCAAGAATAATATTCACAGGTTTCTACCTAGGTAGTCTACAGTGATATGAAGTTATGTTGTTGTCACTGTATAGGTTTAGAGGCAGGTTCTCTGAGACAAACACCCATTTCAAATACAACCGAGCCAAATGGGAAAGGAGCCTTTAAAAAATCCGCAACAACCCAAATTCAGAATGCCCCATTGGGGATTCAAACCAGGGCCATCTGATTCACAGTCCAGCATGATACCAACAGAGCTAACAGTGTGTCCGTAAAATGAAGTAAAAACCACAGTAACAGACTGAAATAATAAAGGGGGCTGTAAAAGATATAACATCTACCAGTTACAGCCTCCTGCCGCAAGCAAGAAGTTTGCAAGAGATCTCTATGAACACACCACATTACGATATGAAATGTAACAATCCTGTGCAAGAGATAAGATGCCAGTTTTGAATATATATCTAAACTCGGATTGCAGAAAAAATTGCAAATCTCCTTCGTGAAAGCTTCATATAAACCTTCTAACAATGTGCCCAAGATCAAGCCATATTTTCTTGCGAGGACACGTTTTTTTCCTTTGGTCTCTCCATTCCTCTGAATCTTCTGTCTGCAAAATCATTACTTCATACATCTAGTCCACCTACTTGAAACAAACAATGTACTATAAAATCAAAGTACTTCAAACAGAAATTTATGCCCCGATAACTCACTTGTCACTGCCACGTGTCTGTTAGCTTTTCCTTCATCGATCACTTCCATCACTTCTTCAGGACTAGACACAAACCTCTCTGTGCAACCCTGCAGCAAACAAATAAAAAGAAGGTTGTGAAATATCTATGTACCCAACTCTCTCAATTACTCAATATGATATACAATCAAGTATAAACAGTAGTCACATAAGAGGGTTAATGTATGACATGTACAATTCCATGCTACTATCCACATTAAAAAATTGCTAGTTTGAACAGCTCTCACAGGGCCAGTAAAAAATCATTTCCTAACAGACAACATTGAAAGTGAGGATGCTTATAGCACCTTTAAACAATTTTTCTTTTAAATTCTGAGAAAATATGAATCATTTACAAGATGAGCTTCAGAAGAACAGAACAAAGGCACCTACCTTCACATATGGGACCCTATTTTTGTCTTCATGCACCGATAAATTGGTCTTGGTCACTGCAAACAAAAAGAACATTTATTAATAATCAAATTACAAGATGAAAACTCAGGAAGATTTTTTAGTTTAGCTTTAGTAAGAGTTTTACGGCACTTGCAACACAATAAGGTCATAAGTGCCAAAGATTAGAGAGATGTTATAAGACAGTAACAAACACAAAAAAAGAAGTAGAGGAGATAAAGAAGATAGATGTTTGATAGGAAAGAAGAAGCAAACCACACCAGAGCACCCGTCAACCACCCACGGAAGATTTTTGGTCAAAAAATTTCTTAAAACACGTTAACAGATTGTAGGTACAAAGGGTTTGGGTTAGAGAGTACATATAAACTTAAAGCAAAGGCATGTTTATAAAAAGGGGGGAAAAAATCAAAGATAAATTTCGAGACTGAAACATAACAGCTTACCGTCAAGTAAATCTCTGATTTTGTCCATGTAGATCTCAAAGTAAGACACCTGTTGGACAGAGAGAACAAAATAAAGGATGTGAAAATATTACCGATATTTAAAAGTGCAAAATTCCAATAATGCAAAAACGCAAAATTGTATGCATGTAGTAATACATTAACACAGACAATTCACGTTTGGCATCTCTTTAAAATTTTAGTAAGTGTTTTACGGCACTTGCAACACAATAAGGTCATATAAGTGCCGAAGATTACAGGTGTTACAAGAGAGTAACAAACCTAAAAAAGAAGGAGGGGAGATAAAGATGATAGATGTTTGAAAGGAAAGAAGGAGCAAACCACACCCGAGCACCCGCCAACCACCCACATGGCAGTGATCTGAAACTCATATATGAAGGCCTTTGAATCTGTCTACTTAGGCCAAAACAAACAGACAGACAGACTAACGTACTGACATGAGCCCATGCACACATATGCTCTCTATACACAAACAAAAATCTGCGAAACTCTCTGTCTCTCTCTCTGTCCCCCCCCCTCCACCCACACACACAATTAATGATGACATTGCTCCGATATGGACAAAAGAGCAATAACCACTGAAGGAGACGGGTCAAATCTAACAGGTATAACAAGATATTATTTTTTTTAAACAAATCAATTTGACAGGCATGGACAGCCAAAAGACTCATATCTGAGAGTGATATGAACAGACATTACTTGTTTCTGTTTACTTAAATCAATAAATGAGAAAAATATCAAAACAAACCTTGATATGGAATTCCAAGTTCTCATCCATGCCATAGATATAGTTAAATATGTCCTGTACAATTCTGGGGATGATTCCTTGTAAATGGTCATTTCCCATGACACCCTGAAACAAAAATACACATATATTTTAGTGCACCTAATTCCTTCCCTAAAGACAGAAATGACTTAATGACAAATAGTTTTCTCTCATAAAAGGCAAACAATAATGTGTGCCCTTCAATTGCACATACAGTAGAAACACAATGATGGTCTGAGCCCTCACAGAGCAAGGTAAAAGCATAATGACAAAAATGCAACAAACACAGCTGACAACCCTAAGAAAATGAAACTTTGATCACATTAATCTTATGTGAACATTTTTGCTCAGTACTGAAATGAAGACTCACTTGTTTCATTTCAAGCTAAGACACTAAAATTTGTTCCCATTCTGTTCACTATGTTCTTTGCGTAATATATATTACGAGTACCTATGTGGCTTTAAAAAGTATTTTAAGCCATAAGTATCACCAAAAATTTACCCAAAATATTGCTTAATTAGTAAGAACGAGTGTAGCTACTTAATTAAACGAACAATCAAAGTACGGTAAAGATACAGCCACCTTTATTTGGGGATGCAAAAAGATATCAAATTCCTTACATTTATTTTTTTAAAACAATAAAGAAACAACAAAATCACTACTAACTTTATCACAACTGCTTTACGATAAGACTACTTTCTCACCTCCATGGTATGGGTTTTACCACTGGATGTCTGACCATATGCAAAAATGGTGCCATTGTAGCCACCAAGGACATCTGGAGAATAAACAAAAAAGCAGGAACATTAACTTCACAAATTAACAAAAACACCATCTTTTTTTCTGATGTTTAAAAGTATTTTATTGTGCTCTTGCAACAAAAAAATTTGGTCGAATAAGTACCAATGACTAAAAATGTTACAAGAGAGTAACAAGCATAAAAAAAAGGAGAGATAAAGACAACAAATGTTTGATAGGAAAGAAGGGGCAAACCACACCAGAGCACCCGTCATCTTTTTCTGACCCTGAACCATTTCCTTATTCAAAATACAACCATAATGAAACTATTAGAAGCCCACATTGCGTGGAATTGGCTCATGGGGTATACTGGAATTTACTCCAATAATAACCAATTTCCATACAAAAAAAATCTTGACAGAGCGACCAGTAATTTGATGGACCACTGCATTTGTGAGGATGTCCTGGGCATTCATATGAAAAAACTAAAAAAGACCAAACCACACACTAGTACTAGAGTACCCATCAACTCGTTAACGTGTCATATGAATGGAATATAATAAGTTGCCAAAAAAAAATAATAGATAAAACTAGGACAACAGTGACACTGAAAAAGGAAACAGACTTGAAAAAAAAAAAGCTACTGACATCTGCAGAAAATGCCGCTACAAATACGTCAGGTCGACAGGAAAAGATAAATAACAGAGAAAAAAGAAGGGAGCCGAGAATGTGCGTGCGTGCGTGCGTGTGTGTGTGTGCGTGCCAGTGAGTGAGTGCGTGTGTGAGTGTATGAGTGTGTGTGTGAGTGTATGAGTGTGTGTGCGAATGAGCGAGTGAGTGTGTGAGCACCCGCGAAGAAGTGGGCGTATGTAGAGAAAGCAAACATGAAAAACCAAAAAAAAGGTTAAAACAAAAGGTATCTGCTCCAAAATGTGTTATACTTGTTATGGTCAGTCATGCAAAAAGGGAGGGCCAAAATAGAGGAGGGAGGGGAGGTATCTCATATTCCACACAAAAAAGGACAGTATTGGAGAGACAATGACAGAAGCAAAGTTAGTTACAAAGAGTGGGACAGAGCCATACAGACAGCAGGGAACGTGGAGCCCAAACCCAAATCTCATGAGCCAAAAATAGCACACCCCCATCTACCCCTGTCCCTACTTTTCTCACAAAAGAACAACAAAAGGGACTCCCTGCAATCTCCCATAAACACCCGGCCGTCCACTTTCACCCCCTGCTGAAAGGGTAAAAATCCCCTCACAGGGGACACACGACCCCATCAGATGTAAAGCCAGGCGTCGACATCCACGCGAAAGCCATAATTTACATTCCACTGGCTGGGCAAAAAGTAAAAGAGAAAGAGTGAGAGAGAGAGAGAGAAACAGAGAGAGGAATGTTCAACTTGCCATCCAGTCAGGTTGGTATGCGATGACTGGCTTCATTATAATATCCATCTACTCTTGCTTGCTTCTTTACCATAAATTTCACAATGTGTGTAAGTGTGGGTGTGTGTGTGTACTATGTGAGTGTGTGTGTGTGTA